TGTGTACCACCGGGCCTGAGGCACTGTTTTTGTGCTGTTTAGTTTCCATACATATGTAGAGTCATCCCATCTAGGTGCCTGTCCTTGTATAATGAGGACAATAAAATTTGAGGCTTTATAGAAAGCTTCATCTCATGTTTCTCATTTGTAGGAATGGTTGTTAACATATCCACGCTGCAGGTTTTTTCTTCCAAATACTAACTAACACCATTTGTGATAGTGATCACAATGACTCTTGGGTGCTTGATAAACATTAGGGTTTTAAATACGGCACACAACTGACGGCTGTTTCTCTGATGCTGTGGAAGAGGCAGAGATGGACAGCTCGCTCTGCCCAGGTCTGTGGCACCTGATCACTCACTAGGGGCCCAGTCTTGTCTTGCTAGTTGCGTAGTCCCCTTACCTCCTGGCTCCACTTCCAACCCTTGATCTCCTCCCTCACACCAACGCAACCGTGCTAAGTTGTCTGAAGTCAATTTATTTATTTGGCTTTGTGTTGTTACTATTTTTGTGTTCCCTGTAAGACATATTGAGCTGTTTTCAGTGCTTTATTTCTCTAACCACACAAACCCTCCGAAGGCAAAGGTGAGAAGGGTTCCCGGGGCATTGTGGACTCCAAGAAAAGCTGGAGATTTCAGCTTCAGAAACCAAGAAAATCCTTCCCCTCCTGAGAAGGACTCAGCTGTGTGCTCAGGGCCCATGGCTCTCAGCCCCACCGACTGGACTGGTGATGCCTCGGAAAGCACCAGGGAGGAGCAGACCTCGATAAGGACTAATTGTGCTCGTTAAGCAATAAAACCGAGGTTGCTCCCTCAGGGAACGGGTCATGCCCCCTAGTAAGGAGGCGGAAGAGGCCACTCAGGACCACTGCGGCTCACTGAGCCTACAACTTGCTAAAGGCAAGGCTCAGAATGAAGCCTCCACACACAAAACAACGCAAAACGGACCGCGGAGTTAAATGCAAGGTCTAACACTGTGAACCTTCTGGAAGAAACCAAAAGAGCCAGTTTTCCTAACCTGGATATAGTCAGTGGTTTCACAGCTATGTCGCCAGCTGGACAAGCATCGGAGGAGAAAAGTAAAGTGCATTTCATCAAAATTTAAGGCTGGCTTACTTACAGGGAAGGCAAAAAGACAGCTCATACAATGAGGCAAAATATTGGCGAATCCTATATCTGATAAGGGACTTAAATACAAAATAGATAAAGAGGCTGGGGATTTAGCTCAGTGGCATGGTACCTGCCTCGAAAGCGCAAGGTCCTGAGTTCAATATTCCGTACCGGAAAAAAAAAAAAAGAACAAAATAGATAAAGAACTCTTACAACTTAATAATTAAAAGCCCAAACAGACTAATTAAACAATTGAAAACCCAAAGTATTTGAATAAATATTTCTCCAGAGGAGATTGCCAGTAAGAGTACTAAAAGATGCTCACCAGTATCAGCCTTCATGGAAATGCAAATCAGAACCACATGCGCTACTGCTCCACACCCAGCATGGCTATCATAAAAAAGCAAGTAATACGAAGTGTTGACAAGTACATGGGGAGACAGAAACTTCAACATTGCTGGTGGTAACTCAAAGTGGTATAGACACTTTGGAAAACACTCTGACAACTCCTGAATGATTAAACAGAGCATTGCCACACACCCTAGCAATTGTACTCCTAGGCTAATACCTAAGACAAAGGGAAACATATGCCCATGCAAAAACTAACACAAGGGTTTACAGTAGCATGATTCAACACAGCCGGTAAGTGGAAACAACACAAGTGTCCATCAATGGATGAACAGGTTAATAAAATGCAGTTTGTCCATGCAATGAAATATTATTGTAAACTAGGACAGACACTATGGAAATTAATGTGGCGATTCCCCAAAAATGCAAAAATAGAAATTTCATTTGACTCAGCTATTCCCCTTCTAGGTGTCTTCCCAAAACAGTGTAAGTCATCATATTACAGGATTTATGTATATTCATGTTACAGCAGCACAATTTAGAGGAGCTAGGTCTTGGAAGCAGCATAGGTGTCCATCAACAGATGAATGGATAAGGAAAATGTGTAGACACAGCAGAGTACTACTCTGCCATGAAGAAGGATACACGTGAGGCATTAGTGGACAAATGGAGGAAACTTGAGAACACAATGTTACATAAAATACATCAGACATAAAAGCTTAAATATCACATGGTTTCTTTTATATGAGAAACCATACATAGAGAAATATATATATTTCAGAGAGGATAGATATAGATAGATAGATAAGAGATAGGATGTAGGGGAAAGTTCAAATCATTCCCCAAAGTACCCATTCTGTTGTTGCATAAATATTTGAAGATACATACTAATTTGTTTCATTTATACTACCAGTTTCTCTTTGTCCGTTGAAAAGAAAGTTCTCACCTTTTACTCGTTTGTTTCTTCTCTGTAAAAGTCTTTTTTATTTATGACTTATACTCTGCGTATCATGTTGGCCATTCTTTTAAGATCATGATACACACTGTGTTAACTAGTGTTATTCTCTAATTATTTTGTTTTGCTTTTTCGTGGGATTAAGAAGACTTTTTATATTTTCTTTATTAATATCTACTTGTATTACATTAAAAATAGGAAAGTTTTTTTAAAGGGCCACAACATAGAAAATCTGTGACAATAATATACTATGTGGGACAGTCACATACAACTATACATTATATGGCCCCATTTATAAAAATTTCAAAAAGAGACAAATCTGGACCCAAAAAGTCAACCTAGAACTTGAGGATTAGGGACTTAAGAGCAATGACTAATTGGTGCCAGATTTCTTTTTGAAGTGATGAAAATATTCTAAAACTTATCATTCTGACGGTTGCATGTGTCACAGGAGGAGACAGGTGGAGAGTCCCTGCAGTCCCGGGCCTGACTCTCCTGAGGACACACAAGGGTGTGGAAGAATCAGATAGAGATGGAAAGCGTAGAAACAAAGTTCTACTTTATTCAGCAAGCGTGCAAGAGTACAGCTGCCTTCTCTCAGAGAGACAGGCAGGGGTGCCCGGAACAGAGCCACCATTGAAGGGGGCTCGAGGGGTTCATTTTGTAGTAGTCGAGGCCCTGTCTCTGGGCTGAGGGCCCCCCTACTTGACTGGCTAATTGGTTGATATGGCTCATTACTAGGGAAGGGTCTGGGGGCTTTCACACCTTACAGTCAAGTATCTTTTTTTTCTCTCGATCTTTGCAAACCAAGCTTTGCAGAGTACAGTGTAAAGAGGAAACGTGACCGCAGGCTGTGAGCTGTTCACGGGGGGTTAAGCCTGTTCTGCCACCCATCTAAACTCCTTGGGGATGAGGGGATCCCTCCTCTTCCCTGCCTACCGGTCTCTATCCCTACACATGGTTCTGTGACTGTACTGAAAATCACTGAATTGTACACCTTAAATAGGTATAATTTAGGGTATGCGAATTTTTCCTAATAAAATTGCTTTTTAAAAGTCTCTTTCCATGAAAGAGGAGGGAAACTAGTTATAATTGTTAATGTTTGTAGCAGGGTGATCTTTATTTGTCAGAATTTTTATTACTCTTGAGATTACTCATGGAAATTAGAACAAAAAAGATATATTAAGATATATTATGGATAGGTACAAATTGCCTATGATGAATACAATCATTATGTATGCCAAATAAGTACCAATAAAATTAATTTTTAAGTCCCTTTCCAATGGAGACCTTGGAACAGCTAAGGCGGCCATTATTTTTAAAAGTCAGTTTATTAATAAGATAAATGCCACTGTTTTAAAAAGAAAGACAAAGAACTCTTGACTGTACACAGCAAAGTTCTAAGTACTTTCTGCTTTGAAGACTTTATTAGTCAACTTTGTATAACTGCAACAAAATACCTGAGGAAGCTAACTACAAAAGAGGAAAGGCTTCATTACTTATAGATTTGGAATTTTGAAGACTTGGGGGTGGGAATCCTTGGCTTGGCTTCCGGTGAGGGCGGCAGACAGGGCCCCTCATGCAAGGATGGGGGTGTGGAAGAGCTTGCACCACGGAGTAGGAGGAAGACGCTGGGCTCTGCCGATCCCTCTGAGGACAACCTCCGGTGACCCAACGTCCCCGCTAGGCCCTGCCTTCTATGGTTCACAGTGCTTCCCAGAAGTACCACTCTTAAGACCAGGACTTCGACAGGCGGACTTTGGGGCACATTCAATATCCAAGCCACAGCAAGACCAAACAACCATGCAGCCGGGGCTCTGGGCTTGGGCTCAGCCTCAGAGCTGGGGATGGCGGGGTGAACACAAGAAAACAGACAATTGAGCGTGGGTTATAAACACACACATGTACACACGTGCCTTCTCATTTATTAAAGACGTAAAGCATTCATGTTCCAAAAACTCAAACTCTAAAAAAGAAACTCCGAAGAGTCTCCCTCCCACCCTCACCCTCAGGCATCTGGCTCTCCTCATGTCAGACAACCAAAGTGCTCTCTCAGTTTCTCCTGCACTTCTTCAGGGGATGTTTTATATATACAAAGCAAATTGTAAAAGCAGAGTGCACAGTGGCGAGGATAATATGTTACCATTTGAATGACGCGGTTTGGTTTTTACTGTAGGATGCAGGTAAAGGTAGGGTTGGAAACAAAGTTCCACTCAGCACCATTTCCAGGTTTCCCCATGGATGGCTCATGACCCAGAGGGAGGACAGGGAGAGCGGAGACTGAGATATAGGACCACGAAGTTTGCTGCATATTCGCAGGCTCCATCTGGCCATCTTAGATAGACAGGCTGGACAGGTTTCCCTTTCGGGACCCTTAACTGCTATGCCCACCACAGCATCAGCTAATCTCCCTAATTCCGTCAGCCAGGCAGCCTCCTAATGATGTCCAGGTATTCTCAGGCTGACGGTGCATGCATATTATGAGAAGAGCTGGATTCAATGACCTACAGCCCCCGAGTCCCTGAGCCTCTGTGATTCTATATAATTAGCTACATAGAAGAATTTATTCTAACCACACACCAACAAAAATCAATTAAATTCACTTTTAATGAGCAATAAATCAAAGGAACTGATATCAAAGATCTATTGTTTTAAGCAATCTCTCAAACCATTTTATGAAGTCAATATAGATTTTGTACAATTACAGAAGAACACTCTACTGTAAAATGAAAAACTAATAATCTATGAGACCTCAGTCCTTGTCATGAAAAAAAATCTTCAAAACAAAACCAAAATGTAAAGGAAAAAACAACTTTAGGCTGTCTGGATCTTGGCTTCTCTGTTTATAAAAGGAAGCTCTCAGTTTAGAGTTGGTGTCTGAGATCCTCGCTGGGTCTGGGACTGAATTCTGCTTCCTGCACCTCTCTCCCGGACTCCTGACAATGAGAGCCCACCCTGTCCCCAGGGCTTCTGCAGGATCCACAGTTTTCGGGCCATATGTCCTACATTTGGAGCCAAGTATATCATATGCAGTGTTAAAGTAGCTCCCAATTAAATCACAGATTCTGATTGGCCTGGCAGCCCTGTCCTGGCCCAGACATGGCAAATTGTTCCTTCCCAATCCCTCATCTCTCTTCAACCAGCTTCTCTCTGGACTCCAGTTGGCTGGGTGGGTCCTAAGCTGTCAGACACACCAAGCATCGCCTCCACTTTCTGCCTCCGCTCTGTCAGCAGTGCACTCACTCCAGTGGCCTGAATACCGTCCCCCATCCAAGATGGCTTGGCCACCTTCCAGGAGCAGGACACCACACCAGGCCCTGCGGTCCAGCTGGGTGGACTCCTCCCAGCACTGGACCACAATGGAGACCGACCATGATGTGTTACTACACCCTTCTCCTTATCCTCGAGCTCTAAAGAGCAGGGTTCAGGGTCCCCAGAGTCTGTGGAGTGAATCAGTGGTCGCAGGGAATGGAGAGGCTGGTGAGTGACCCATCTGGCTGGCTTCCCTCTGCCTTCTGAGCACAGTGCATTCTGAGGCTTGGTCTTGTGGAAGTATCAGGCAGTAGTAAAGAACAGCTGGCAGCACCAACTCATACCCAAGGAAGCTCGTCTGAGATCACGAGCAATAGGAAGCCTAAGGTTAGGCTAGAGGAAGAAGGTCCTGCGAGTGGTGACTCGGTGTTCTCCTGTCCTCCAGGAAGCTTTGCCTTCTATTTAGAAATGTGTTGAAGGTCAGGAGGTTTTCTACTTTCTGGGCGGCACAAGTCCAGGTCTCTGCAGAGGTGGTGGTCTCTAGAAAATCCATCCTGCTCGTGATCCTGAGTTCTCAGGCGCAGCTCCTGACCACCATGAGGTCCAGGCCCTGTGCCATCCATGTATTTGTTTCCGGACAATCACGGGAGCCAGAGCTGGGATGGGCCGGAGAGTTCATACAGTCCAGCTCTCTTCACAGTCTTACAGAGTGTCCCATGATCCTTGCTCCCAGATCCTGGCTGTCTCATAGATCCAAGGTCGCAGTCTACATTCAGGCATAAACATATCCAGCAACACCCAAGAGCAAAAATAAAGGCTCACAGGAAGAAACCTGTCTCACAAGGACCACATGACATTACGATCACAGCGTTCACTCCTTAGCACAAGGAGTTAAGGCGGGGGGAGAGAGAAAAGTGCACCCTACATGTGGTTCTTGACCTCCACACCTAACGCTCTGATTGGCAAGGTCATATGTAAACAGGTGAAAATTAAATAATACCACAAGAGAAAATACAAGTTCAGGGTAACCAGGACACAGGAAAACTCTGCACGATTCTTTACAGAAACCAACAGATAGGAGGTCAGCTTCAGCAACCGTGAGGTCAAGCTGGCTGGTCCTGAGAAAAGGCTCATTAGAGGACACGGGACAGAAGCCAGGCGGGGGAGGGCAGCAGAATGAGATCTTCATAGTCAAGGAAGCGATAATTCTTACACTCACTTCAGGGACCTCACTGCACCTAAACCTGCTGACCGCTGACTCTCTTCCCCAGTAAGATCTGCTGCTCAACATCCTGACTTTATCTCTCGGAAAACAGAATGACATGACGGACTAGGGAGGTTCCTTCTTCTCCCTCGTGGGAGATGAATCATCATTCACCTTAATGCATGCATTCGGCTAATGGGAACCCACCTTATCATCTTCCTCTTGAGCCATTCTTCTTAATGCACCATTTTTATCTTGACGTTTCGTGTGTGTGCACACGCATGTACACGCTCGCTTTGTCATTGGTGTGTGCAGACTGCAGTGGGCATACTTCCATCTACACTTCTTGGAATTTACTTTCCAGCCTCTGGGCATGATTTACAATTATAATGCTGTCACCAGCAAAAAAAAGAGATAGGCTGATTAATCTTTGTCAATACTGGCCCCTACTTGCCAGATGAGTTTTTTGAACAGCATGGCTGGGAATAATTTGTATCAGATTGTATTGCCTCGCTTTATGTCACTGAAAACATTTATCTAGCAACATGGTCACTGTACATAAATATCCCGGAAGCAATGGTGTATAACTAAATGGCGTGGTTCATTCATTATATTCAGCAAGTTATGTACTGAGTACCTACTTCAATATGTGCACTACACTAACTCAGAATGCGGGGCTGCTGGGGGACCTTTCATCGTTTTCATGGTTTTCTGAACTTGGCCAGAACCCTTCTGGTCACCTGCAGATAGGCAGAATAAAGGATTTTACTTCTGAGACTGTAACTGGGAGCTTGGCAGGATCTAACTCCTTGAGATTCCACTGGTCAGGTGTCTTTCTAATGGGTACCGGAGTCAGATGCATGGCTCACCCAACAGGACTTTGATTCACAGGCTGATAAAGCACGGAGACGAGCTGATAAATCATACCAATAGCCTGTATGACAATGAAATGACAGTCACCAGCCTGCTGGCCTTGGTAAGGCCTCAATTTGCCTCAGAAACAACAGAGACTTCAAATACCAGAAATCTGAGAAACCATCAGAGCCAAAAGGATGCTGGGTGGAAGGGACTCACTGCCCCCCTCCCCCGGGCTGTCCTGTTTCACCCCCACCCCTTTGGCCTTGATTTCCTACTTGCATTCTGTTAGCCTCTGTTTATCTGTAGGTTGTAGTTAACCCAGTCAAATAAGCACCCCACAAACACCTCTGCTGGAGTGACAACTCACTATTCACTGAGAGCCTTCTGTCTTCCAGGTATCTTTGCGGTTCACAGCACTGTTTTTACTTACTTCTCACTGAAGTTCCTAGGAGACAGAGGCCATGGGTCCAGTCAGCAAGGAGAAACTTAGCCGTGTGACACTACCCACCCAAAGTTGCAAAGCTCTCGGGAAACCCAGCTAGGACTCATCCCAGCTCCTCCGGAGTTCAGCACTCTCTTTGGCTTCCAAAAATTAACCTCTCAGTACTAGGATTTTCTCTCTTCAACAAGAAGCTTATACTGACTCCTGCATCTGCTTGACATTTCTCTGAAAACTGGCTGATCTCTTTTGAAACTGAGAACCTGTTTATGAGAACCACCTGAGAAAAGTTCTGCTTAAAGGCAAAGGGGAAGGAAGATATCTGGTCAGACAATATATTGTGAAGTAGCTTTAGGATCTAAGTAGCCTGTGACGTTTAAGAAAACACCATGTCTGAACCTCTCCAGTGACTCTGAGTGGACTCAGTGCAGCGGCCTGCTGTTTGCTCTGCAGTCCCTGTGTGCTGGAGCGCACTGCAGAAGCTGTACAGAGCCCAGGCCCAGCCCGGACACTTTCCAAAGGTCACCAGGAAAAGAAAGGGAAGTGAACCCAGGATTTCAGGTCTCAGGTTCTCTGTTAGTGACAGCTTCTGCACAGGCATTCCAACTTTTCACAGTTTTCCCAATATCCAAGCTATCAGGGTCACTTTTGATTTCAAATTCGTGAAAATTATGTCTTGTACCCATGCTGATCATCGGACACTGGTTTTATCTGCTATCCAACAGGAAACACCTGGGCCCACTGTGAAGTAATGTTAGCCATCTCTTTGTGGAGTCTCTGCATTGAAATATTCTTAGCCATTCTCCTTGAACTGAATGTGCTCAAAGTGGGACCATTTCCTTAAACACAACGGTCCCGGTCCTGTGAAAAGTCAACCCATGTTAAATAACGCAATTAAATGCTTAAAGAAACGGGGCTTCGGGGCCTTACTCTTCAGACCCTTCATGGTACAAAGCTGCAGGGCGAGCACATCAGCTGAAGCCTCTGTAACATGTGCCCAGCAAAGTGCCGTCACTGAGGGGAGTTTGTGTCCAGACAACAGCGCCTGACCGAGCCGAGGCGAGGCCAGGGGGCCCCGGACAGGGAGCAGGACACAAGTCACGCGCACGAGTCTCCTCTGAGCGAACTTTATACGTGAGGATGGTTTAAAACTGACACTTCTGGAGCAGTCTGTGCGCTATCAGAAGATTTCAACAATTTCCCAAGGTGCGGGCTCCATCTGGATGTATCTTATAAATCCAACAGAGCGAACACATTGTGATGGAAGATGCTGGCTTCCGCAGCAGCTTCCAGTCCTCCCCTCCGGGCCTCTCCCCGGGTCTAGGACACCTGCCCCCGCTCCCCTGTGTGTCCCAACAGCCAGGATCCCACGGGTGAGCGCTCGGCTCCCACCTGGCTGTAGCCTCCCTTCCTGCGTGCGCAGCGCATCTCACGCCCCAGACCAGAGCTGCCTCGCGCCCGCGGCTCAGACTGCATCCTGGCCATCACAGAGCCCGCCCATCCCAGCCTCCCAGCGCGGACTCTGGGTCAGGAACAGCAGGGCTGCGGAAAGGTCCCCGACGCCGCGAGGTTCCCCGGCAGGGGTGCAGGGGGAGGAGAAGGAAGCTCCCGTGGGGCGGCCAGGCCTGGTCCTCTCCCCGCCCTCTTCGCGGCCGGGGCCCCTGGACTCCCCGAGGCTGCCCCGCTGTCCGCCTGCAGGGCCATGCGGCCCCTTACCGAGCCTCTGCACCTCCTGTCTCCCCTCTCCCACAGCCAGAGGCGCCGGTCAGGACGGGCCCTGCGCACGATCCAAAGTCCACCACCAGGGGAAGGAATAGGAAAGCGCCCCAAACGGGCCCAAGGGCGGGCTCCCCGGAGGCCTCCGCGTCGCATCGGAGCCGCGGGAGGGGGCTTTGTCCCCGTGTCCTCGTCCGAGGGCACCCGGCCCCAGGCCACCAGCCCCGTGAGCGCGGGCGTGGGCGAGGCCCGGGCCCCGCACAGCCTGAGATGAGCCCTCCTGGCCCTCGTCGGGGCCCAGAGCTCCTGTGCAAAAGCAAACAGGCCGGGGGCTGGGGACCTGCACTTTGGACCTTTTGCAACCCTCCTGCGGCCGGGCGCCTATAAATGGGCGCCCGCGCCGCCGCCCAACGAGTCCGAGTCCGAGCCCGACCGCAGGGGACAGGCATGGGTCGGCCGAGGCCCGCGCTGCTGCTCCTGCTGCTGCTGCTGCTGCTGCTGGACGCGGGCGCCCGGGCCGGTGAGCGGGGAGCGGGAGCGGGATCGGGCCCGCGCGGACCGAGGGGAGAGCGGCCGGGGCGGGGGTGGAAGGGGGGGAGGGAAGCCCCTCGAGGCCGAGCTGGGGTGCGGAGCCCGCCGCGGGCGGCACGTGGGGACCCCGCTCTGTCTTCTTCCCTTACAGAAGACGAAGCGCCGGAGAGGGAGAGCGTCAGCCCGAGCTGCCCCAGTAAGCGCCCTGGGGCCCGGACCCGGGAGGGCGGAGGGGCTGTCCCCTGCCTCGGCCGGCCGCGCGGAGACCACGCCGCCGCTGCCTGGCGCAGCTCGTGCAGATGAGGAAACGCTGACCTTAACCTCTGCGCCGCAGCCCAGGCCCGCGGGTGTTTACCTGACCCGGGTCGGAGCGGCCGCGCCCGGGCTGGGACCCGCGGCCTCTGACGGGGCGGCACTGCCACCTCGTGGCCAACTGGCGCTACTTCGCCCGGCTTCCTCTGTTCCTCCTCTGAGGCGGAGCAGCGTCCTCCAGAAATCCCTCCTCCAGGCCCTTTCAGACCGACCAGATAGCCTAATGCTTAGTGGACGTTGCCTCGGGCGTCTGATAGAATCGAAAGGGAGTGTTGGCTCTCAAACCGCAGAAAGCGTTGCAAGCAGCACTATCCCTTTGCTGACGGCGCCAGCCCTCACTGCAGAGGTTTCCTGGGTAGATTTGGGGTCCCATTACTGCATACTTGAAAACCTCCTCTGAAACCTCCTCCGATGATGTCTTTAAGGAATCCTAACTAACTAGACATTGGTCTCAGCAGAAACATAACAGAGAAGTTAAATCTAGAAAAGAAAATTAAATGTAATGTAAAGTCAACTGAAAATAATTTGAATTCAATACCATTTTCTGTTACCCATGCCACTTCCCCCCTCGGCCCACCACTGCGTGCCTTTGGGAGGGTCATTTCTCCTACGTGGCTGACTTACTTCTTGTTTTAGAAGAGGCAACTCGGTTCAAGCACCTCCGGAAATACATTTACAGCTATGAGGCCGAGACTTCCAGCGGAGTCCCCGGCACTGCTGACTCCAGAAGTGCCACCAAAGTCAGCTGCAAGGTGAAGAGGAGGGACTGGAGGAGCCCGGAGCCCGTGTCCTGCCCAGCCCTGCTGCCGCAGGAGGCCAGCCGCAGCCTTCCACAGCCTCCAGGTGTAGGGCAGCCTGGCGGCTGAAAAGCTGCCTGCCTTAGAAAGCTCACCAGCCCCAGCTGGCTTTCTCATTAGCTTCCGAGATGGAGTGCATGGTCTAGACTTCCAGCAGAGGAGAACAGATTTGGACCTGAAAGAGGCCCAGGGAGTGAGCTAAGGGAGGAACGGGCATCTCAGAAAAGCCTTGAGGAACACAATGTTTATGACCTAAGTCGAGCAGGATCTATCGCTGAAAACGAATGGGAAAAGACAAGATTTAAACATGCAGTTTGTTCTTAATGACACTCTCCTCTGTGGAGACTGGGGGTATTCCTATCCATGTACCTATGGGGCAGGTCTAAGGGTCCCTGTCGAGGCTCGTGTAAGAAAGAGAAACCGCGCTCAGAAGGAGCCCCCTTTTCTTTCGGGGCCCATAGCTCTTGTCTTGCTGTCAAATAAGATGGCTGCTAGCTGCCCGGGGTGTAGCTGCCATCTGAGACAGTGCAGAGAGAGAAGCCCCTTGGGTAAGAGCTGCCAATCTAGTTTTAACCCTGCTATGTGCAGAGTCCACAGTAGGCTGTCCTGGACCCAAACAGGTTTTGGAGGACATGAAGGAAACATTTGCTGTAGTCACCAGTGATGGCCGTCTTCCCCTTCCTCTTTTGCTTAGCTCTCTCTCCTAGTCTGCGTCTCTTCTGAGCACACCACACTCTATACGATGCCGACTCTTGATGTTTCAAAGGGTCTGCCCTGTAGTTGCGGGAGCCCCATTATTTGGTACTTGACGGCCTCCTCTCTGTACCTCAGATGATATATTTAAGGAACCCTAATTTAAGAAACTTGTTGCCCCAGGAGGAGGAAAAGAGCAAAAATGAGCCAAGGCCGAGGGTGATGCACAGAGACCCACGAGGCATGTCTGGAACACATGTGCAGGGGACCAAGCCATCACCTTCCCCAGCAGCACTGCCCTAGGCTCTAGATAAAGATGAGGCCCGGCCCATGGGGTGGCTCTGTTCTTAATGGAGAACCTCGGTGTGCTACTGCCTTTGTCCCCAGGTGGAGCTGGAGGTTCCCCAACTCTGCAGCTTCATCCTGAAGACCAGCCAGTGTGCCCTGAAGGAGGTTTACGGCTTCAACCCTGAGGGCAGGGTCTTGCTTAAGAAGACCAAGACCTCTGAGGCTTTTGCAGCTGCCATGTCCAGGTGAGGCATGGGCTTGTGCATCCCTGGCTGCATTGGACAGGGGTGGGTGTACTGGTGTGTGTACATTGAGGTGTGAACGCATGTTCCTGTTAGCCGTGCTTGCAAGTTTGAGCATTTCCATTCTATTCTCACCATGGATCTGGAACTGCAGAGTTCTCCTAAGTATCAAGGAAGGAAAGATTATTTATACTCCCCTAGTTAAGTTCCATTCATTATCCTTTAAATGTACTTCTAAACGATCTCAGGCTTTTAAACTCATTGAGATAATAAAGCTGAGAGGGCCTGATTAAGCAGGTGTGTTCTTCCTTTAAAGAATTAAAGGGGGCCTGGGGTCTTCAGCATGGTCCTGGTGGTGTTTACAGCTGTGGCCACCTCCTGGAGGCAACACAAGCCCGGCCATCCCTGCCCTGGGCTGGCCCACAGCCACTGGCATTGGTGCTGCCATTCACAGCCGGCGTCTCTCCAGACTGTCAGTGCTCACGCATGCTGCACCAGTCCTTGAATATCTCCAGCACCAGCCCCGCCTCTCCCCAGTGCTGGTGTGGGAAGCCCTAAGTATCTGCAAAGGAATGGGACTGTCAGTGGGGTGCCTCAGGAACCCTGTCCCGAGTGCCTTTCCATGTTGGAGCAAGTCCTTTCTCTGTGAACAGGCCTGAGGCTTTATAGATGAGGGAATGTCCGAGAAATGTCTGAGAAGAAGCTCAGACTCATTAGTGCTCAGGAAATGTGCTCCTAAATTAATGTCACCGAGGATATTCCCACCGCACGCCCCAGCACACCAGGACGGGGTGGGGAAGTGTATTCCGTGTGCTGCTGCAGGAACCGAGGGCCAGGAGGCAGTCTGCTCTGGCTGAAAACACTCGCTGTTCTGACAAAGCAGCTGGCCTCCAGGGCTCCAGGCCAGGAAAGTAAAAGCAGCAGTGTTTGAGGATGGGTGCACAAGGGCATTTCTTTCGGTATTGTTTGTGTGGCAATAGAAGTCCAGAAAGAGAATGTAAATGCCTTCGAACGAAGCAGTGTCAGGTAAACTACATTTAACCACAGTATGAAATGTACATCACTTTTAAAAAAGAGCTATACCCAATCACTTGGGATTTTCAGAGTATAAATAATAATAATTAAAATTAATAATTAACAATAATTCTAAAACAAGCTGAAGAAACAATGCCTTTTGAACAAAACAAACAATGACAGAATCCTTCAGTGTCTGTGTTTGTGCCCACACAAATCTACACAGGAGCCTGTGGATGTGGAGACAGGAAGGCAACATCCACTGGTGTCCAGGTGACAGTGAGGGCAGGAGGAGGTTGTGGGTGGAGAGTGGAGGGGGGCGGGTGAGCCACGCAAATCAGAAAGAGAAATGAAAGATGCCCACGGCGACCTCCACTGGTGCACTTCACTGACAGTGTGCGCAGATGTACGTGTTTAAAATGATGGGCAAAGAGCAGGTGTTTGAGGGACCGTGCAAGCCTCTGGCTTCCGCCCGGCAGGTCCTTCCCGTGACGCGCCCTCTCTGGTTCAGGTACGAGCTCAGGCTGGCCATTCCTGAAGGGAAGCAAGCTGTCCTCTACCCAGAGGAGAATGAGCCTGCACATATCCTGAACATCAAGAGGGGCATCATCTCCGCTCTCCTGGTTCCCCCGGAGACAGAGGAGGCCCAGCAAGAGCTGTTTCTGGTGAGAAATTAGAGCTGATGGCAGTGCCCTGTATCCTTTGCCTCCTCAGCGGCAGACACCAGTGGCCCTGGGTGTAAAGTGGATCGTGGGCTCCGCTACCCCAGTGAGAAACACCAGTGCTCTCTGCTCCTCTGTCCTGTGGGCTGTCAGATCATCCCGAGCAGGCTGAGCACACTGGGTCTGATTGCTTTCTTACAGGCTTTATCTTTGTTAGTATGCAGGGATCGCTTCTTCGTGGGAGCTGCTACGTAGATACAGCAATCTTGATTTCTTTCACGCTCTTCTGCTCCCCTTCCTCTTGCTCCCTCCTTCATCCCTTGGACCTTTCCCGTTTGCAAAGCCTCTCTCTCCCTAGTTCCCATTATCTGTCTTTTATTTTGCTCTTTGTTTAATTCCCCCAGTTACTGGGGAATCCCGACCACGCCACCTGCTTTGGTTTGAATTTTCCCTCCTATTCATCTGTTGTAATGCAGTAAAGCCTGTGTGTATTTTATGTACCAAAAAGACTGGAATCTGCAGCCAGCTTCTCTAAAAACTTCAGGTCCAACTGCAGGAGAAATCAGTCGACTTCAGTCCTACAAATGCTTTGGAACCCTTCTGTGTTCAGAATTCTGTCCTGCTGTCTGGAGACAGAGACACAGTGGCTGGGCAGGCCCGGGAGTGCCACCTGGCCTGCAAGGAAATGGAGGCCCTCCTAAATTTGTCCCCCTTGGCTTGGCTCCGGGCTTCTTTCCCAGCCTCTCTGCAGCACCTCACGATGCTTTGCCTCTGATGCTCAGCACCTCACGATGCTTTGTCTTCTGTCACTGCAGGATACTGTGTACGGAAACTGCTCCACGCATACAGCAGTGAAGACAAGGAAGGGGAGCGTGGCCACAGAAATGTCCACGGAAAGAAACCTGCAGCAGTGCTCTGGCTTCCAGCCGGCCAGCACAGGCGCCAGCCCCCTGGCCCTCATCAAAGGCCTGGTGAGTCCCCACCTCACCGCAGTGCACACAGCAGGGCCTCGCTGTGAGGACCCTGGGGTGGCCCAGCTCACAGGGACTCCAAGAAGAGCCTGCTGGCTCGCTTTTCACACAGACTGTGGACACGAGCCTGGGCCAGACGCAGGAAGGGATACCAAGGCATCATTAATTATGCCAGGACTAGAGTCAGCTTCCCGCCTGCCAGCCCAGAGCTCTGGCCTTCCTGTTGTCCCCTGTCATGGCACCCAGCCATCTGCCATGAGAGTACTGACCGTCCATCCCTGAGAAGATGAAGCCACCCACTGTTGCTGCCTGCTGAAGGGCTGGTTGTCCTAAGCATTGGCCTCCGAGGACGTCCCAAGACCTGAGTTCTCTCCTCTCTCAGCCATGGATGAGATGGTCCAAACCCATGTCCTTCCCCCCAACTTTGGCCCTGACCAAAGCCAGGCTTTGAGCCTCCTGACCAGGCTGCTCTCTCAGTTATAACCTTCTCTGCTGCTACCGGGGTCATGTGGCACTGCATCTCTGCGTTTGCTTGACCCCTGTGATACCTTCTGGAACAGATGGGCTCAGTAAACATGACGGGCTTGAGCAATCACCACCGGGCTGCCAGTGTTCTGGGTCACTGTCCTTGGGGATGGAGAGATGGCGTCTCAGGACCACGAGAGCCACAGGTGGAAGAGGTCAGGGCACTGGCTTGGGGTCTTTTCCTTCCGAGCACCTGCTGTGTGCTCATCCGTATTCCAGAAGTACTGAGGGAGGAAGAGCAGGAAATGAACCAAGGCCCCTCAAGGTGCCCCTGGGCTAATGCAGCGCCAGGATCATCCCATGTCAACAAAGGGCCATGCCTGGTGCCTGAGGGACTGGTAACCTGAGTGAGAGGTGAGCAGTCCTGGGCCTGCCCCAGAAGGACAAAGCAGTTTTCACATACTTTATTTGACAAAGTCACCGAGGATGGAAAGATGAACCTGAAGCAGACATAGCAAGTGCAAACAGGAGAAGATGGGAGGACAGGCTTTTAGGCAAAGAAATCCTAAGGAATATGGCATGTGAGGGGCTGTGTGTGGGGTGAGGGGTGGTGTGGGACACAAGATGTATACATCATGCAAGCGAAAGAGTCTGCAGTTGAGTATGTTGACTTGCTGTGTCCTAAATGTCAAGTGTGCAGTTTTACTGAGTTTATCTCGTGGTGCAGGACTCCCATTCCCTTCCACCTGGAAGACAAAAGCCTGTGACAGGAAACTCAGGCTCATGCCCTGGAGACTCATCAAAATGCTGTTCTCCTGCCATTCTCAGGCCCGCCCCTTGTCTACCCTGATCAGCAGCAGCCAGTCCTGCCAGTACACCCTGGACCCCAAGAGGAAGCATGTGTCAGAGGCCACCTGCAAGGAGCAGCACCTGTTCCTGCCTTTCTCCTACAAGTAGGACGCCACTGCTCCCTGACTCTGCGTTGCACGATTGATCTGGGCCAGTGCTTCTCCAGTGCCCTGTCAGGCCAGGCTGTGTCTGGGAGGGAGTTTTGGAGGGGTATCAAGCAGACCACTTCTGTGTCCCCCTTTATAAGCTAAAAGGCAATTGGGCAGAAAAGTCTCAGCATGTGAAACGATTTGAGACCAACGGAAGACATCTTAGACTCACATTTGTAGGGCTGAGGATCCAGAACAGCAGGGGATCATTGCAGGTGCCCTGGTTGGAAATAGTTTCATGGAGGATTTTGACTGGAGATTTCCACATCAAAATCCACTTTGGAAACTGACATTTAAGCAATATCTGTTGCATAACTGCTATATTCTTGGCACTGTGCTGTGGGAGATACAAAAGAATTTCAAAGCACGGTATTTGTTCCTCTCAACCCTCTGGGTATTCTAGACTGATGTCAGGCACAAAGTATATTTATCTTTCTAATGGGGGTTAACTAGCTATTCTTAGGGGATTTCATGTGGCTGGATTTGATTATGCTTTGAAAAGTGGCCATGATTTGGGCAGAAGTAGAGATGAGAAACTTTCGACATGAAAAGAATAGTTTGTTCTGGGGATCCGGCTGTGACGTGACGTGACATGATGTGACGTGCTTCCTTTGTTCCTAGGAATAAGTATGGAATGATGACCCAGGTCACCCAGACTTTGAAACTTGAAGACACACCTAAGATCAACAGCCGCTTCTTTGGTGGAGGTAAGAGTCTGTCTGAGTGTATGTGCTGGCAGGTACCCATCATGGCATAGCTCAGTCAGACGTCTGCTGGCTGATGGTGAAGTGGACTGTGCTGTGCTGTCCACTGAGCTACCAGCACCGAGAAAACATAACTGTTCCCCAAAGTCACAGGAGAAGTTTCCAGCGTTGCTTAGGCTTTCACAGGTACAAATTGGAAGCCTAGGTCTACCGTGAGGCCTTTGGTAGAACCAGCTGCCTCATACAACCTGTGATAGACCGTAGGGCCCTCCTGGAGGGGTCTGGATCGGGGAAGGACCCCAGGGGCAGGCCAGTAGTGATCTGAAGAATTGGTCTTTAGAAGTAAAAGGATTTCTGTGATCTTTACCCAGAATTATATATTGTGTTTAAATCTGTCAGACTCTTTGTCGCAACATCACTGTCCTCTCTTCGGAGAGCCTGCGGTGTCAGTCGGTAGAAGCCTAAGCTTGCATTCCCGTTCTGCACAGGGGGAAATGACACACAGGGAGCTTAGAGATGTGGCCAAGTCCCCAGAATCTCACAGGGGCGCAAAGTGAGCCGGGTCTGATGGCAGTGGGATCTGCTCGCCACCCACCCTCCGTGCTGCCCCTCGTCCTTCCCCTGGGACAGGTCAGAGCAAGGTGATGGGGCTGCAGAGGGTCGCCCTGCCCCACAAGCTGCTAGGAGGCTCAGTCCAAAGAACTGATGGTGAGGATGCTGAGTCCCGCCTTGGCTGCTGCCCGGTGCCCTCCTCAGATTTTCCAGCAGAAGGTCAGCGGGTACCAGATTCCAAAAGCCTGCGTTCAATCCCAGCCTTGCCCCCTCGGCCCAGGGAGTTTGTGGGTAACAGCTGTCAAAGTACATTGCTCATCTCTGGGTCTCCGATCCCATCTCTTGAGCAGTGCTACCACCCTCAGGGATACAATGATGAGTCAGTTAAAAAAAGTCAAACGCCGGTGGAAGTGTTTTCTTCTTTCCCCCACTGCTGCTGCATCCCTGGTTTCCAGTTCCCATTCAACAAAGATGCAGCTAAAGTAAGCAGAATTCCCTTGACGCTTTGCTTCTTCCAGGTACCCAGAAGGTGGGCTTGGCCTTTGAGAGCACCAAATCCCCATCACTGCCAAAGCAAGCAGAGGCTGTTCTGAAGACCCTCCAAGAGCTGAAAAAGCTGTCCACCTCTGAGCAGAACGCCCAGAGAGCAAATCTCTTCAACAAGCTGGTCACCAACATGAGAGGCCTCAGCAGCGAGGCCATCACATCCCTCCTGCCACAGCTGATCGAGGTATCCAGGTAGGACTTCGACAGTTGCAGCACAGTCTCTCAGATATCTCGAGGGAGCCAGCAGAACTTTGAACTTTGGCCAGAGAAACTCAAGGACCATTTAAATATAAGTCCAGTTTATCAATTAGTAAATTGTCAATGAATGTCTGCTACACAGACAAATATCAGCAGAGGGCTTAGTGCTCATGGGCAGAACACACACACACACACACACACACACACACACACACACTGCATTCCGGGCATCATGTGTCTGAATGTTAAAATAGGAGGGAAGCAGTTCCCACATTTGATAGGTGTGTTCTGATTCCTACTTCTGTTCAGGGACCCTGGAGGCTAGAGAGATGAAGAGGTCTGTATCCTCTGGAAGCTCACAGGCCAGTGGAGAAGGGATTCAGACAACAGAATAATGTGACTTCCCTGTGGTTCAAGCACTGGAACTAAGTACAGTGAAGGTCACAGAGGGACTGAGGCCAGGAAGGGACTGTGCCAGTGTTGGCCAGACATGTCTTGGCCAAAGGACGCTGACAACTGTCCTCCTTTGGCAGGACAGTTTTATGCTTCTTAGTCTCTGAATTGCATTTTGAAAAATAGTTAGATTCGGACAATGAAAAGGCGGCAGGTGGGCACCCGGAGACAAGCACACCTGGGCCAAGATACTTCGTGTGGTTTGAAGATGCTGTCTAATCTCTGCACTTCTCTCCCCAGCCCCATCACGCTGCAAGCCTTGGTTCAGTGTGGACAGCCCCAGTGTTACACCCACGTCCTCCAGTGGCTGAAGAGTGAGAAGGCTCACCCCCTCCTGATAGATGCTGTGACCTACCTGGTGGCCCTCATCCCAGACCCCTCGGTTCAGAGGCTGCGAGAGATTTTCAGCATAGCCAAGGAGCAGCAGAGCCGAGCCACCCTGTACGCGCTGAGCCACGTGGCCAACAAGTGAGTGTCCACACTGCCATTCCTCCCAGGACCACAGGAGGGGACACATCTCTGTGCTACCCCTGCTGGTTCCCCTTGTTTCTCTGCTGGTCATTTTGAGAGAAAAAAATGCGAAATAAGAAACCAGCAAAGCCACGTCTGGATTTGAGAGCAGCCTGAGTGTGCTTCCTCGTGCTAATACTCCTCTCTTACCCATAGCTATTTTGAGGCGACCCGCACAGTGGACCCAGACCTGCAGGACATCATTAATTACCTCCAGGAGCAAATCCAAGATCAGTGTGCTGGGGATGAAGATCATGCCTACCTGATCCTGAGGGTACCTCCTGTCTCCTGTATAATATGCAGCATTTTGGAAATGTTCCTCCCGGACACCCTTACTTCTTCATTCTGATGAGTTCTGTTTCCTCTCTTCAATACAGGTCATTGGAAATATGGGCAGAACCTTGGAGAGCATAGCACCCATGATCAAGTCTTCGGTCCTGAGCTGTATCAGGAGCCCAAAGGGATCAGTGCTGATTCAGAAGGCCGCTATCCAGGCCCTGAGAAAGATGGAACTTGGATATGAGGTGAGTTATCCAGAGGTCTACAGGTGCACCTTTACAGCAATCAACAAGGTTTGCGAAAGTGTGAGAGCAGGGAGATTCTACAAATCATCATTTTACTGGCTTTATTCTACTGTTTTCTAATTGCACATTTCAACAAGTCCATTACTTGACTCCTAGCACTACGTGGGCATGAGCAACATCATCAACCCTGCAGCTATCCACCACGAGGGACATGAGATCTTTGCCACCATACTAACCATCACTGTCATGAGGGAAAACATGCTTGCTTTTCCCTGGTGTCACCAAACTGGGTAGCGGACCTAGTCCTTCCTTAGTTGGCAAAACCCCCAGACCTCTGGAAACTGCCTTTCTCATTAGCTCCAACCTCACACAAAATAACTTGTTAAAACAACCTTGTCTTCACTTAGCGGCACAACTTCGTTATAATTTGTGTATTTTAATGCAATTGAACTCAGCATGTATCCAGTGGGAGTCTTCTGGGAAGCCCACGATGAGCTGGTTGCTAGGGCAATGTGGATTGATGGCCAGCAGTTGATGAGTTATTAGACCTGTGCATAAGGCAGAGCTAGCGGGCCAGGTGTGTTCTGGGGCCTGAGTAGAGGGCAGTGACAACAATCTGCTCTCCTGGCTGCAGGACCGGGAGCTCCTCCTTCAGACCTTTGCCGACAGCACCTCTCCTGTGGAGAAGCGCTTGGCTGCCTACCTCATGCTGATGAAGCAGCCTTCCCAGTCGGACATTAGCAGCGTCATCCAACTTCTCCCCCAGGAAGAGAGCGAGCAGGTGAAGAACTTCGTGGCTTCTCACGTTGCCAATATCTTGAACTCGGAAGAGTTATATGTTGGAGAGTAAGTAAGCCTGATTCCCCATCTGCCTCTGAGGGCCCTGGGCTGGATCCCAAGCTTCCATTCAGGCCTGTGCACTGCCCACCTCGTAAGAGACTGTGTTTTCTTCTAAAGCAAAGACGTGTGTGTGTGTGTGTGTGTGTGTGTGTGTGTGTGTGTGTAGCAGACCTTGAGCCAAAGTCTTGAGGTCGAATGAATCTCATGTATTTTAGTACTGATTGAAAATCCATATTTACTTGGGATGTTAGAGACAATGAATAAGTAACATCACGTGCTGGCTCAAAAAATATTCCTCTTTTCATCTAGTCTGAAAACCTTAGTGAAAGAAGCTCTGAAGGATTCTCAACTTCCCACAGTCATGGACTTCAGAAAATATTCCCGGAACTATCATGTTTCCAAATCTGTTTCGCTTCCTTCACTTGACCCAGTCTTGGCCAAAATTGAAGGGAATCTTATATTTGATCCAAATAATTATCTTCCTAAAGAAAGCATGCTGAAAACGACCCTGACCATCTTTGGCTTTGCTTCAGCTGACCTCTTCGAGGTATGTGTGAGACTGAAGAGTCCTAAACTCTCTTGTCCATCCTGTGCAATACCATAAATAGTCAAGGAAGCACCTAGTATGGTAGCATGTAATGCAGGAAACTGAGGCAGAGAAGCATTTGTGCTCAGGAGTTTGAGACAAGCCTGGGCAACATAGAGAGACCCTCACCTAAAAAGAAAAACAAAAAATAAAGTCAAGCGAGCCAGGAGCCAACCTGGAGAGGGACAAGAATCATTGGGCAGCTCCTACTATAACCTTGAGTTCTTCTTTCCTTACCCCCCTTCCTCTCTGTCCACTAGGGGTCATGTGATGCTTGACTCCTCACCATAAAGGAACTGTAGATGGCTCAGACCAGCCCCTAACCACAAATCCAAGGAAGCACAGGAGCTATCCAGTGATACCTAGTTTGAACTTCAAATCCACTCTCAGCTCTGACTCCTGCTTTAATTATTTATCCTCTCTGATCCCTACCTGCCTCTCCTAAAAAACAAAGGCGAAATTTAAATAAATAACTTCGTAAGATGCTGAGCTCAGCTCTTCCCTGTGCTCTTCACCAAATGCTTATTGAACTAAATGGATGTAAAGACAGGAATGAGGCGGAGATACAACCAAAGATCCCATGGCTTATTCTTGCCTGATTTTCTTTCTCAGATTGGCTTAGAAGGCAAAGGCTTTGAGCCAACACTGGAAGCTCTTTTTGGGAAGCAAGGATTTTTCCCAGACAGTGTCAGCAAGGCTTTGTATTGGGTCAACGGTCAAGTTCCTGATCGTGTCTCCCAGGTCTTGGTGGACCACTTTGGCTATACCAAAGATGACAAGCACGAGCAGGTATGTATTGGTTAAGTTTCTTCTCAAGGAAACCAGTGGGTCCCAATGCAAAAGTATTCTTTTCTAAGCCTAGAAGCCATCAAGGTTCTACCTACTTGAAATGAGAACTGTAGCTACGTGTTACATAGTCCTTCAGGCAGGCGAGCCAGAATCCTCTGCAGTTAAGAGCCTCTTGGAAACTTGGTGCGCCCAGGAACCCGATTTTCTAGGAAGATAATTGAGTGTGAAGTCTGGGGAATGGTTTTGAATTCTGACCTCACTGTCTTCAAGCTGCATACACATGGACAAGCTGCTTGCTCTTATATGTATCTATTCCTGGATCCCTCAAGTACTAGCAAAAACCCATACCTTACACAGCTATTTAAAGACTAGACAGAACAATATGTAAAATGCTAGGAAGAGTGTCCAACATAGCTACTGATTATTCCATAAGCAGATCCTCTTATCAGTTTAAATTAGTATTTTCATCATTAATAACTTCTCTTTTAGCCCTCACTCATATCAGCTAATGGAACCCAAATCCACGGTAAATCTAGCAATAGGGCCTCCTATAAGGAGCAGAAACTAGGTGGTATGTTCTGGGGCTTTTTTTCCATAATTTTTTGCTACCTAAAACGTGGTCTGGTAATTAGCTCTATGTGAGAGCTTCTTAGGATGCCTGTCAGCAGACCCAGTCGGGACCTAAGCAATCAGAACCTGCATCTCAGTGAGACTCCAGAGGACTTGAATCCACCTTCAAGGCTGAGAAGTGCTGCAGTAACCTGCTCTCAGATCTCACTGGTAGTCTCACCTCTCTTCTGCTTTGCTGACCTCCACTTGAAGCCGAGGGTCTTTGATCTGTTTTGGGTCTGTCTATCTCTTTTCTTTTTCAATACATTGGTGTCAGTCTACGGGGTTCTTCATGTTTCTAAGAAAAACAGGTCTAGGATCAGGGTGTAGTTTTTCAAGCTTATGGCTGATTTATGCAGCGGCTACATTTTCTCAAGAAACCCCTCATCAAAGGAGTGAGGAGACAAGGTGTCTTCGAATCTTGAGGAGCCCTAGGGACCCAGGCATCTGAGAGAACAGCAATTTCCCCTTTCTGGCCCTACATTTTTTTCAAGTTAAGGGCAACTTTGAAAGCACTGCTGCCCCTGATAAGACTTCAGGTTTCTTTCGTCCGTGCTTAGAGACAAATTATCTTTCGTGAAAAACGGACGGCAGCCTGTTTTCTGTGTCTGCTCTGTACCCCACCTCGGGTGTTTGTGCTTTTGGCCATCACGGCTGCCATGGACAGACCCTGCCTCGGAATCGAAAAGTGTTAGGCAGAGCCAACATCTCACTTGACATTTTGTCACTCAAATCCCAGGACATGGTCAGTGGAATCATGCCCATTGTTGACAAGCTGATTAGAGATTTGCAGTCAAGAGACATGCCTGAGGCCAGAGCCTACCTTCGCATCCTGGGAAGAGAGCTTGGCTTTTTCAAGCTTCAAGACCTCCAGCTCCTGGGAAAGCTGCTGCTGAGTGGAGCTCGCACTCTGCAGGGAATCCCCCAGATGGTGAGTGAACCAGGCCCGTGAGCGGCCCACGCAGTTGCTGGTGTTCTTCTTAGGTCTGCCAGATTCTTTTCAGACCCTGGCCACACTGTCAGAAAAGACACCTGTATTCCTTCAAAGACACAGGTTTGTGTCAAATTTCAATGAAAATGATTCTTGACTCACAAGAAATGAAGACATTCATAATGTTAGCTTTACCTTTTTTTTTCTTTGTACTAGAGATTGAACTCGGGTCCTTGCGCTTGCAAGGCAGGCGGTGAAACCACTGAGCTAAATCCCCCTTGTAAGAGTTTTAGTTTGATCTAAAAAACAATGTTGAGTGTTCCTTACTCTGCCTACGATGAAGGCTCCTTTAAATATTGAAATAAAATGATGATTAGGAAGGGAAATATTTGACAAACCGTAATCCACCGCCCAACTATTTGTTGTAATTTTATTATTATAATTTACTAACAAAGGAGAAAATATAGAAACATATTCCCTATTATTAGAGAAATAATCATGTTGGCTTTGAGAAAACAGATCTCAAGTTATTTTACGGAAATGTTATTTAAAAATGAAAAGAAATGTGTGGGCCAGGGATTTAGCTCAGTGGTTTCGCCACCTGCTGCCCAAGGACCCGAGTTCAATCTCTGGTACCAAAATAAATAAATAAATAAAATAAAAACAAATGTCTATGATTATGACATCATTTCAGTAGTTCTTGGTTTCAAAGGTTGGTTTTACCATAAAATAATATACTTCAAGTAAACTCTCATCTACTTTCAGATTCACCAAAAGCAGAACTCACCCACGCTGTACATGATACTTACATTTCTTAAAGCTCCTAGGCCCAGCAGTACTCCTTAGTGCCTTTGGGGTCACCAGCTGAAAATGACATTACTATATTCAATACAGAGTATTTCTTATGTCCCAATGCCTTGAAATCAGCAATGGTTCATTGACTTATCAAGCCATTCAGATAAGTAAAATGTGCTGGTTCTTTCCTTTCTGGATGAAGACGGGTATTGTCTGGTGTTTGGGAGATTTCACGTCATAAAACTCACTTACACGAGGCCTACTTTAAGTTGGTCTCCCCTGTCGGATCTGCAGATCAGCGAGGCCATCAGGGAAGGCTCAGAGCATGACTTGTTTCTTCACTACATCTTCATGGACAACACCTTTGAGCTCCCCACTGGAGTGGGGCTTCAGCTGCAAGTGTCCTCATCTGGAATCATCAGCCCTGGGTCCAAAGCTGGTTTGAAACTGCAAGTGGCTAACGTAAGACGCTCTGCACCCGTTGCAGACAAATCAGTGGTTGTTGTGCTTTTCCCCTAGGGCAAGTTTCTCGCACGCATTTTTGAAATGCACTTCTAGCGCCAGACAAAGTGTGTCATCGTTGTAGGCCATCACTAACTTTTATGAGAAGGGTTAGCATTGCAACTGCGTGCCCCGCCTCTCCACCCCAGTTGGGCATAGCAATAAAACAAGACCAGCTGATCTCTCAACAAATGCTCATTCCTGTCATCTTTCTACCTGGCTAGGCTTCAAGCTGACTGAGGTGCTTCAGAGTCCTGTGAGTCTAGCTCTAGAAATCTGAGAATTTGGCTTTTCTTCCTCAAAATAAATTACAGTAATTATCCCTGTGTGTGAGTTATCCGAAGGTATTTACTGCAGGATGAGAAAGCATGATTGATCTGACAGCCAGAGGCTGACGTATGTAACAAAACTCAAGAGCTGTCTTCTGACCTGCAGATGCAAGCAGATCTGCTGATGAAGCCCGCTGTGTCCGTGGAGTTTGTGACAAACATGGGTGTCATTGTACCCGACTTTGCACGCAGCGGGGTCCAGATGAACACCAACTTCTTCCACGAGTCAGGCCTCGAGGCCCGTGTGGCCTTGAAAGCTGGGCAGCTGAAGGTCATCATCCCTTCTCCAAAGAGGCCAGTCAAGCTATTCAGCGGCAGGTAATGATCTTAGCCAGGAGTTCCTGGCCAGATTGAAAGAGAGTTGAAGATGCGTCTACCAGGCTAGAGAGCCCACTGAGATAACCTTATTTATACCCAGACTCAGGCTCACTAAACAATGACCTTTTCTTCTCTTTTCCGCATATTACTTAATTGGCCTGCATCATTCTGCTTGGGACTTAATTAAGATCTTCTGGTTAGTCCATTATTACTAGGCTGTGAGGGGTCTTTAGAATGAAGAAACACTAGCTCTAGAGAAATCTGCCTTGTGAAACGAATGTTTCTCTCCAAAAGAAACACCACAGGACACACTGATTTCTGTGGTAACCAGCTCAATGCATAAAGCATGAAATTCTCAATCCCATTATTAGGGGACCCAGCCCCATATGGGAAGTTCCATTTTCAATGACAATCTCCACCACTGATTTATCTTAGTTTCTGTATTTTGGACACATCCGGTTACTCATTCCGAAATTGTATCTAATTGCCCATCAGATGCCCAGCGTGTTGAGCACGATGCACAAGGTTCCTGACTTTCTAGAGCGTAAATTTGCTGGAAAGACCAAGGAAATGGTAGCAGTGAAGTGAAGGCTGGGTGGGAGGAAGTACTAGAGTACCATGAAATTGTGTATCATGTAGCCTGTGGGTGTTGGGAAATGCCTTCCGAAATAATACTTGATCTGCTGTTGGCTATTTCACTTATCCAAGCAAAGGAGAAAGAATGAGACTTCCAGCCAAAGAGAAAGGCACATCTGATGGCCTGAAGGAAAAAAACAGTTCAAGGAAATGGAAGAAGTTGAGTAGGGAGTTAAATGAGAAATGACAAGGGGAAGATGGCCCAGGTCAGACCATGCCGGCCTGGAAAGCCACCCAAAGGATTTGGACTCTTCTGAAGGAAAGGGAATTGAAAAGGAGAGTACAGATGAAATAGGCTGCTGTTTTAGGAGAAATACTTGGGCTGCAAGGTGGAAAGAGTGGAAAGGAAGCACAGTGGGAGCCAGGAGAGCGTCTGTTGTAGACACGTGGCTGAGCAGTGCCAGAGGCTGCACCAGAGGAGAGCCGGGTCGGGAGGACTGAGCAGTTCCAGAGATCGCAAGAGGTAGAATCATGAGTGCCTGGTGACTGGCTGCAGATGGGGTCAAGGAAGAAGGAAAGGCAAGGGAAACGTGTGCCCTTCGTTGGACTAGGGACCACAGCGGGAGGGCTGCTGCTCAGAGGAAGACGGTAATTCCATTTTGGTTGAGCTGCCTTCGATGTCCTAGGAAACGACCAAGGAGAACTGCTGAAGTGGCAGTTGGGCCTCTGGGTCAAAGCCCAGTAAAGAGTTTTGAGCTCACATATGGATTTGGGGATCATCAGCAGGTAGAGGTGAGTTGAAATAGCAGTTGGTCTACAGGAAGATGCGAGAGACTGGGACAGATATGTGGAGAATATAAGCGTGTGAGGAAAAGCAGTAAACAGCAAAGAGTGTGACAGCGTAAGCAGAGAAGCAAAGGAAGATGAAGGCCGTAAGTAAGGGGTCAGAGAAGCCAAGGAGCAGCTGGAAAACCGCATAGCCAGGCTAACGCTGGCAGGCAGCTTGGCAAAGCTTGGTCTTAAAGCACCAAAAATGAGGGAGCAATATGGGAGAGAAAATGATGTTTGAAAGAGTGCATCCTTGGAAGAAACCAGAACACTGTTGGACTTTCTTGTACTTACTAATTTTCTAAGTCCATTGACCCCAAGTGAACAACTCTACTGAATATTTCTGAGAGGATAAAGAAGAAAAGGCCTAAATATGTTCACTGGACTTAGAGCAAGAAGGAAATTGGAGGTAATAATGCAAGCATTTTCCAGAACCGTGATAAGGGCAGCATTTAGATGGCAGCTGAATGAGAAGCGTGCTCGAAGAACCCCACAAAGACAAACAACCTCTTGTGAGTGAGGGAGAAAGGAAAGGGCTGGAAGGGAAAGGGATTGGCGTGAGCACGTGTACATGTATGGGCAAGAGAGGCAGAAGAGACTCCAGCTTATGTAATCCGGGTGGAAAGAAGCAACAGTAAGAGATTTCAGGGCATGTTCTTTTTGTGGCTGTGAGCAATAGCTAAGAAAGACAACTGAAAGAGAGAAGCTTACTCTGGCTCCGAGTCTCAGAGGTTTCAGTCCTCGAGCAACTGGCTCCATGGCTGAGGCCTGAAATGAGGCAGAACGTGGTGACAGAGAGAATGGGGGAGGAGGGTGCACACCTCACTGCAGCCAGGAGACAGGGAAGTGCCTTGGAGGAAAGAGTGAGGGAAGGATAGAGCCCCAAGGCCCCGCCTCTAGGCCCAGTGGTGCCACCCAATTGCGGTCTCTTCGGTGGATTCACCCAGTGATGAAGTCACAGCCCTCGTGATCCAGCCCTTCTCACAAAGCTTCTCAGGAGCCAAGCCTTCAACACAGTGAGACACTTGGGGGAACACACTGGATCCCAACCCTAGCAGAGAGAGGGTTCCCCTCATGCAAAGGGAGAAGCATACCCAAGGCCAGCCACGTGACAAGTGAGTCACCACCCCCAGGCTGTTGCCCTGCAAAGTGAGAAGACTGTGCCTCCCACTGTAAGGGACTAGGGTAAAATACGTAAGGAACTCAGGGCAGTGTACGAAGCAGAAAAGCGATTGTGATTGTTACTCATCTCGATGTTCTCCCTGTTATTATTTATTTCTTAGTAAATCAAATAATTTGAGGTGGATGCGCACAGAAAGTTAGAAAGGAGGACGAGAAGTCATATGCGTGTCAGAATCAGTGGTGTGCATTCCATGGCTTGAAGAAAACTCAGATCTTTCTTTCTTCACCAGCAACACCCTGCATTTGATCTCCACCACCAAAACAGAAGTGATTCCACCGCTCATGGAGAACAGGCAGTCCTGGTCAGCTTGCAGGCCTTTCCTTACTGGTCTGCACTACTGCACTGCCGGCGCTTACTCCAACGCCAGCTCCACAGAGTCCGCCTCCTACTACCCACTGACGGGGGACACCAGGTGAGGGTGCTCAGGCCACAGCCCACATCTGCTCGCCTTCTGCGTTTAGCCACCTGACAGGGCAAAGGAAGAGCACCATGTGGTGTAGGCCTGGGTCACCAGGCTTGTGGACGTGGATCATTCTTCAGATACCTAAACTGTCGGTCCTTTGGCCAGCTCTTCTGCGGTCCCCTCTTTCCCTCTGGGCACTTGAGATCACAGCCGATTCCAGCTTGATCCTAGTTCATTGTCAGAGTTTCTGAGCTTCCAGACCTGCTGGTGTGAGCTTCTTGGAGCTTCCAGCGTGCCCAAGCCTGCACCATGCTTTGGGTCTTCTTGTCCTCCATCCACCCACTCCTACTTCCCATGCTCAGCTCTGCTGACAAAACCAGCCACCCCACTCTACTCTTCCAAGAACCCTGGGAATCCTGGCATCTTCCCTTGCTTCGGGGTCTTGGGGGTACTAGTGGGAATCACCAAGATTATTATTAGTTAAGGACAAGAGATAATGCTAAAATAAGGGCCACTTTTTATTGCTTTTGAGGCTGAATTGTTTGAGGGATGTTATTGTTACTACCATTATCAATTAGTATGCATTCATTTGTAGATATGAGCTGGAACTGAAGCCTACAGGAGAGGTAGAGCAGTACTCTGCCAGCGCAACCTATGAACTCCAGAGAGAAGATAAAGCCCTAGTGGACAGGCTGAAGTTTGTAATTCAGGCAGAGGGTAAGTATCCACAGAGGCTGTTCTGGCCCTGCCATCCATCTCAGGGTCAGGACTCCCCAGGAGAACATATTTATATGACATGTTTAACAAATGCTGCCCAAGTGCCCGATGAGTACCAGGCCTAGTGCTGGGGCCAACAGAGAACAATAGAGAATAAATCTCTGCTTTCTCAGAAATTGCAGGAAACAACCAAGCAAGTAAATATTCAAGACATCAGACCAGCACTGGGGGTGTTTAGATGGACCCATGGAAGGCTAGGAGAGGGGCAGGGGAGGAAGGCAGTGAAACCGCGAATGATAAGAAACGTTCTCCTGGCAAAGTGGCCTAAATAAAAGGTGGAGTGGGACAAATGGATCCGAAACGTGGAGAGAGTGCTACATGCTAAGCCCCAGCACATCCCAAGGCCCTGAGGCTGGCACATGAATGCCGTGTCTGAGGGAGAGAAGAGGACACCGCCATGGCTAAAGCAGAGAGGCCAGGGATAGGAAATGGGATCAGAGAAATCCGAGGGTGGTCGGGAAAGGGTGGTCTTATAAGCCATGGGAAGAACTCGGTTGTTTGTTTTCCTTCTTTTATGATTTTAATTTTCAAATTTTTTATTTTATGAAAAAATACAACAGATTTTTCACAATTGAATAAAAAGAGAATATCAGTAGTTATTACACTGTATGTCATTATCTTCATATAGTAGCACAAACCTTGTCAATGAACTAAGATAAAGTAGAAGTATAAATGAAACAATTAGCATACCTATTGAAATATTTTAAAGACAGAATCTTCTTATTCTTATTTCCTATTTGTCTGTCTTCTGTTTTGTCCTCTATTTGTATTTCTCACGTAAGACAAACCATGGGATACCTGAGCCTGTGAGCCTGCCTTATTTCACTGAACATTATGTTCTTGAATTGCACCTCTTTGCCCATCAGTGCCTTGGTTTACCTTTCTTTGCAGTAGTGTCATACTCTATTGTGCGTAAACACCACACTCCCTAAGCCATTCATCTGTTGATGGATACGTACCCTGTTTCCAAGACCTAGCATTATAAATCGTGCTGCTACAATCACAGGTGTGCATCTATCCCTGTAATGTGACTTTAGCTCTTTTGGGAAGATACCTAGAAGGGGGACATCCAGATCAAATGTTATTTCTTTTTTTAGTTTTTTGAGGAATCTCCACACTGATTTCCATAGTGGTTGTACTATTCCCATCAACAGTGTAGTAGAATTCCTTTTTCCCCACATCCTTGACGGCATTTGTTATTTTTAGATTTTTTTCATGATAGCCATTCCTTCTGGGGTAAGATGGTATCTCCGTGTAGTTTTCATTTGCGTTTCTCTGATGGCCAGCAATGATGAACATTTTTTCATGTATTTATTGGCCATTTGTACTTCTTCTTCTGAGATATGTCTATTTATTTCTGTTGTCCATCTTTAGATTGGGTCTTTTATTTTGGGGGGTCTAATTTTTTTAGTTCTTTATATATTCTTAGTGTTAGTGTCTCTCTCTCTCTCTCTCTCTCTCTCTCTCTCTCTCTGAGGAACAGCTGGCAACAATTTTTTCCTGTTGTATAAATCCTTTCATCATTCTAGTGGTTGTTTCCTTTACTATGCAGAAGCTTTGTAATTTGAGATGATCCCATTTGTTGGTTCCTGGTATTATTTCTTGTGCCATTGAGATTTTCTGTTCAGAAAGTCCTTCCCTATGCCTATGTCTTCAAGAGTTATACCTATTTTGTCTTCCAGCAGATTGTGTTTCTATTTGAACACTTAGATTTTTTTATCCATTTTGATTCTGATTTAGAACATGGTGAGATTTATGGGTCTAGACTCAATCCTCTATTTGTTAAAGAAGCTATCTTTCCTCCAGTGTACATTTTTTCTCCTTTGTCAAATAGTTGTATGTGCCTGGAGATGTTTCTACTTCTTCAGTTTTGTTCTATTGATCCACATGGCTGTTTTTGTGCCAGTACCATGCTGTTTTAATCACTATAGCTTTATAATATAACTTCAAGTCTGAGATTGTGATGCCACCTCCTTTGCTTTTATTACCAGGATTGCTTTTGCTATTCTTGGTCTCTTCTGATTCCATATAAATTTAGAGTGTTTTCTCTAGCCCTGTGAGAAATAACATCAGTGTTTTTATCAGGATTGCATTAAATCTGTATATCAATTTAGGGAGTATAGCCATTTTGATTATGTTGGTTCTACCCAACCAGGAATGGGGGATATTTTCCCATTTTCTACTGTCTTCCTTGATTTCCCTTTTCAACCTGATGTAATTTTCATTGTAGAGATCTTCACTTTCTTAGGTTAGTAGCTAAGTATTTAATTTTTTATGCTGTCGAATGGTATTGTTTTCCTAACTTCTTTATCAATGAGTTGATTATTAGTGTATTGGAATGCTATTGATTTTTATGTGTTTACACTGCTGAATTTGGTTATCAATTCTAGGAGTCTTTTAGTGGAGTTTTTTGAGTCTTGTAAGTAAATGATCATGTCATCTGCAAATAACGATATTTTGATTTCGTCCTTTCTTGTATATGTCCCTTTTGGGGTTTTTTTGTTTGTTTGTTTGTTTCGGTACCAAGGGATCGAACTGGGACTTTGCGCTTTTGACGCAGGCGGCGGAACCACTGAGCTAAATCCCTGGCCCTGTTTCTTTCTTTTACCTGATTATTCTGGCTACTATTTCAAAGACAATGTTGAATAAGAGTAGTAAGTATGACATCCTTGTCTTGTTCCTGATTTTAAAAGGAAAGCTTTCAGCCTTTCCTCATTTAATATGATGTTGGCAGTTGGTTGGTCATAAATTGCTTTTATAATGTTAAGATAAGGTCCTTCTATATGTATTTTCTTCAGGGTTTTTATCATGAGTGAATGTTGGATTTTGTGAAAAACTATTTCTGCATCTGTTGAGATGATCATGTGATTTTTGTCCTGGATTCTTTTTATGTAATAAATGACATTTATTGACTTGTGTGGGTTGAGCCATCCTCACATCCCTGTGATGAACCATAGTTGGTCTTGATATATGATCTTTTTGATGACTTGTAGCACTCTGTCTGTCAGTATCCTGTTAAGGGTTTTCACATCTATGTTCATTAGAGAAATTGACCTATAGTTCTTTTGGGTTAGATCCTTGTCTGGTTTTGGGATCAAGATAATATTAATTTCTGAGAATGATTTCAGAAGTACTCTTCCCTCTCAATTTCTTTAAAAATTTTGAGGAGCATTGGTATTAGATCATCCCTGAAGTTCTTGTAGAATTTGACCATGAATCCATCAGATCCTGGGCTTTTCTTAGTCGGTAGTTTTTTGGGGTTTTTTCTTACTGCTTCGATCTCATTGCCTGTCATTGGATTATTCAAGATTTTTAAATCTTCTGGGTTCAGTTTTGGGAATTCATATGTATCTAGGAATCTCCATTTCTTCTGAGTTCTCTAATTGCTTGGCATATAGGTTTGTGAAGTAGTTGCTAATAATTTTCTGGGTTTCAGTAGTGTCCATGGTGATTTTACCTTTTGCATTTCTAATTGCATTAATTTGTGGCTTTTCTTTCCTTTTCTGGTAAGATAGGCAAATGGTTTGTCTATTTTATTTATTCTTTCAAAGAATCAGCTCAATTCATTGTTTCTTTGTAGCATTTTTAGTCTTCATTTTGTTAATTTCTAATCTGACCTTTATAATTTACATCGTTGTACAAACTCTAGGTTTGTATTCTTCTTGTTTTTCTTAGACCTTGAAGTGCATTATTAGGCTATTTATTTGGGGGTTGTTCTATTTTTCTGAAGTGGGCATCCACCACTATAAACTTCCCTTGCAGAACTGCTTTCATTGTGTCACATAAGCTCTGGTATGTTGACTGGCATTAGCATTTAACGTTAGGAACTATCTTATTTTTCCTTAATTTCCTCTGTAACCCATTGATTACTCAAGATTGTGTCATTTAATTTCCATATGTTTGCTGGTTTCTGTGGTTTCTTTTGCTATTGATTTCTAGTTTTATTGCACTATGATCTGATAATGTGCATGGCAAAATTTCAATAGTATACAATCTATTTTGGAGAATGTACCATGTAGAACAAAAAAGAATGTGTATTCTGTTATTGTTGTGTGGAAAACTCTGTAAATATCCATTATGTCCATTTGTTCAAAGATTTAATTCAACTCTGATATTTCTTTGTTGATTTTTTGTTTAGTTGATCTATTTGTGACAGTGGGGTATTGTGATCCCCACTAAAACTGTGTTGATGTTTATCTGATCTTTTATGTACATTAGAGTGTGTTTATGAAATCGGACGCACCATGGTTTGGTGCATATATGTTTGTAATCTTATATCTTCCTTTTAAATAGTTCCATTAATCAAGATGTAATGTCTTTGTCTCTTTTAATCAGCTTTGGCTTGAAATCCACTTTGTCTGAAAATTAGATAGCTACTTCTGCTTGTTTGGGGGTTCCCATTGCATGGAATACTGATTTCCAGCCTTTGATTTTTAGCCTATGAATTTCTTTTCGCATTAAATATACTTCTTATATACAGTATACCACTGGATTTTGTTTCTTGATCCATTCTGCTAGTCTGTGTCTTTTGATTGGTGAGTTAAGTCCATTTACATTGATAGTTATAATTTATATGTATTGACTTATACCTGTCACTGTATTAATTTCCTGTTGCACTTTGCTTTCTTAATCTTGTACTTAATTCCTAGCCCTACCTGATATATTCATTTTATTGGTCCTCTTGGCATTGTGAGATTCATTGTCACCTTCTGAAATATCCTTGAAAATTTTTTGGAGTGTTTGTTTGGTGGTCACAAATTTCTTTGGGTTTTCTTTATCATGGAAGTATCTTTTTTCTCCATCAATTTTAAAAGATAATTTTGCATTATATTACAGTCTGTTTTCAAGGTTATTTTCTTTAAGAGCTTGAAATACTTTATTCCATGGTCACCTTGCTTTCAAGATTTGTATTGAGAAATCTGTTGTAATTCTGATGGATTTTTCTTTATAGGTCTTTCATTGCTTTTCTCTGGCAGGCTTTAACATCTGTTCTTTTGTTGAATATCTGGTAGGTGGCATGGAGTATTTTTCTTTCTTATGATCGTGGCTATTCGGGGTTCTGTATGCTTCACTTATCTGTAGGTTAAATTATTTTTCCATGTCTGGAAAGTTTTCTATTATTTATGTAAATAGCTTTTTATGCCCTTTGTGCTGTTTTCTGATTTTCCACTAATTCCAAGTACTCTTATATTAGACCTCTTTGGGTAGTCTAGGAGGGGTTGGATCCACTTTTCACATTCCTTTGTTGTTTTTAAAGCATCTCTCGTTAATTGGTCACTGATTACAGCCCTGTCCCTAGGTCTGACACTCTGTCTTCACACTGGTCACTTCTGCTACCCATGCTTTCAATCATGTTTTTAATCTCCAGACTTTGTTTGGAGCCTTCTTATCGACTTCTGTTCTTTTCTACACTGGGCATTCATGTTTTTACCTCTTTTATTAGCTCCATTCGCTGTTTATCGGTGTCTTCTCTAGACCCGCTGATCATTTGTCCCATTACAGTTACCATGTGATTAGTTACATCTTCTTTAGATTCACCAAGCACCTTGCAGAACTGCTTCACCTCCATTGCTGTACTTTCAGACCTATCGCAGGCATAGCTTATGATTTCTGTCCCCTCATTGCCCCTGTACTGATTGAGGGGAGTTTGGAGTTTTGGAGGCATTTTGTTGCCTTACATTTTCATGTTTCTTTTTTCGTTTGTTTTTGTACCGGGGTTTGCAAATTCTTTGGACCAGTGCCCCATTCTTCAGGACAGAAGTATGATTTATGACCCCCCAGGCTTTCCACATATTGGCATAGAAAGAAAACCAGTTGCTGGCCACTACTACGTTACCTGGTTTATGGTAACAAATTCAGTGACAACAATGGCATCAAATGTTGACTGCATATGAGAAGCTCGAGGAGCCTCTTGCGCACAGCCCTCACCAAAACAAAGAGGACTCTGATTCTAGCGAAGACAGTCAGGCCTCTCTGACATTAACCTACATCAGTTCAGAGCACTGATTTCTGCTGGCTGTCAGCAGCAGTGCCAGAGCTCAAATGTGCCACTGTGCTGCATGCCTCTTCAGGATGCCCCTCTGAGGATCGCGCCCACCGAGCCTGGCCTCCCACAGCAGAGCACGGGACCCGTGATCTTCCCGGTCTGAGCCCAGGGTCCTCGGGGGATCCCAGGAGACCCCTAGTGCTCTCACCCTCTCCGTGCCTGTCTCCAAGGCTGTCTCTCACCCAGTCTCTGTGGAAGGGATCACTGCGGTCCTGAAGGGAGACTCCACTCCTGGGTGTCGGGCTCTTCTTCAGCCAGGTCTGTTAGTCATCAGCTCTGTTTCCCCATGCTGTGGAGAGCCCAGGGACTGGGTTCATGGCTCTTAATTCTGGAGTCCTCCAGGCTCAGGTGCAGGTCCCAGTGGGCCGTGGCATTGGCTGGGGGAGGCTTCCCGGGTTCTCTAGGCTTGGGCACAGGTCTCAGGCAGCAAGCCGCAGCATCCTGCCACTTGGACTATTCCTGTGAATGAAATGAGAAGCCATTGGAAAGTTTCCAGGAGTTAATTTATGTTTATGTTGAAAATAGATCACAGGCAAACAAGGAGAGCAAAACTGGTGTGTAGTCTATGGCAGTAACCCAGGCAAGGAGCTTCAGATTTGGGTGGTGGCAGAGGAGACACGCGCAGTGGTCAGCTTCTGACATGCTTTGAAGATTAGCCCTGCACCCCTTGCACTCCTTGGATGTGTTGAGCATTCCCTGCCCCAGAACCTTCATCCATCTGATCCTCTGCCTGGAATGCTCCCCCGGCACTCAACAGTATCTTTTTTTTGTCACCAAATTATGGAGCTTGTAACTGTTGAGTCCTGTTGAGTCCTCGGAATGAACAAATCATTGATGCCAACTGATTTTCTTCTCAGTAGTCATGACACAGAAGGAAATGCTCAGCCCCTCTCTTCCTGTGGCTTGTGCCTATATAACCCTTCATCAGAGAGAGTTCCTCTGACTACCGCATATGAAATAGCACTTCTTCTGTCCATTTCCATCTTTTTGTCTCATATCTAGTTTAATTTTTCTTCATCTTCATAGCATCTATTGCCATCTGGCATGGATATTTGACTTGCTTATTGTCTGTTGACCTCCACTAGAAGGTAAATTCCACAAAGGCAGACTCCCCTGTGCCAGAACAAGTGTCTGGGCATGATAGGCCATCAGCAAATACTTGCAAATCAAATGATTAATGAATAACCACAGCATTAAAAAAGGAAGGTAAAACCCTGAACAGTGCCTTCATTTAAGCACATTGAGAACTTACGGTTTGCCTGACTATTCCCCGCCTCCCTTCTCACAGGTAACTTCTAAGTGTGCCTTTCTTGATTCTCTTATACACTCTCTTAGGTGTGAAGCAGGCCGAGGCTACTTTGATGTTCAAATATAATCGAAGGAGTAGGACTTTATCCACTGAAATGCAAATTCCAGATTTGGATGTTAACCTTGGGACAATCCTTAGAGTCAGTGATGAATCTTCTAAAGACAAAAGGTCTTACAAACTCAACCTAGACATTCAGAACAAGAAAATCACTGAGGTTGCATTGTCGGGCCACATAAGGTAAGGAAGGCTTGGGGGCCTGACCTTAGCTGTGGCCAGGCTGGGTCTCCCCCTTTTTCCTCCAGCTTTAAATCTCACCAAGCCAGGTGCACCCTCGCTCTGCAATTCGGGTAGCACATACTGCTACCTGCACAGTGCTGCATAGTGCTTTGACCCTCTGCACATCAAAGTTGGATCTTCCCGTCATTTATTAAGCACGTAACTATCCACTACCAAGTATTAAGCTCAGTGCATTAAGAAATTATATCAGTCTTCAGAACAAACTGCAAGGTAGGCATGAAATGGTAGCAAAAAGTGATTTAATCATTTGACAAAGGCTGTAGGGCTAGGAGACAGCAGAATGAAAACAGCTATCAAAACACATATGTGTCTCCCTGTACCTCCCTGCAAAGTGCTGAACTTATGCCCATGTTGGCTTTAGAAGTTAATGGCTTTGATCTATCTATGGCCATGTCTGTTCCTATATCTTGTTTTTGCCACCAAATATGGAACTTCTAACTGTTAAATCCTGTATGTCTCCTCGGAATGGACAAAATCATTGATGTCAACTGATTTTCTTCTCAATAGTCATGACACAAAAGGAGAAGGCAAAATCAAAGGTGTTATTTCCATACCCCGTTTGCAAGCTGAAGCCAGAAGTGAGATCCTATCCCACTGGTCGCCCACCAAACTGCTGCTTCAGATGGACTCCTCTGCTACAGCTTACGGCTCGACAGTTTCCAAGAGGGTGGCGTGGCGTTACGGTATGCGCCTCCTTCCCCGTGTGAGCTCTACCACGGCTGCTGTCAGTGTAGTCATAGTTACCAGCTGACCTAGCACCCCTGACAGCTCTTTCCTGTGCGTTTTCAGATGATGAGAAGGTGGAGTTTGAATGGAACACAGGGACCAATGTGGATACCAAAAAAGTGGCTTCCAATTTCCCTGTGGACCTCTCTGATTATCTCAGAAGCTTGTATATGCACGCCAATGGCCTCCTACATCACAGAATTCCACAAACAGACATGTCTTTCTGGGACATGGGTTCCAAAGTAATAGTTGTAAGTATGAATCAGCCAGCAAAACAAATACAGATGCTAATTACATCCTCAACTCTCTGTTAGGTGCAGAAAGAGCTCCAAAGATACGTATGGCATGCTTCATATGGCATGGTTCCTGGACCGGAGGAATTCCTAGAAAGAAAACACTCTGCATGCCTAGTTACGCAGTTACCAAATGAATGCTTCTAAACAGAGCATTTGCTGTGCCTAACTAAAGGCATCAGAGAAAGCTTCAAGACATTCACTATGAGTCTAACTATATTATTTTTATAAAATGTGAAGTGAGATCACTGATTGGAAGCTTTCTATAATTCATTTTTACCTTTCAATGCATTGTCCTGCTTGACAGTTGACCTGTTAAATCTAGAATCACCCAATGTTATTTGTAGTTTGAGGCTCACCCAGGCCCATTACTTGCTCTAAAAATCTTCTCTCATTTTGTAGACAACAAACACATGGCTCCAGGAAGCATCCAGTAGTCTTCCTTATGCCCAGATTTTACAGGATCATCTCAGTAGCCTAACAGAGCTGGACCTCCAGAAAATGAGTTTGCCATATTTCCATATCCCTGACAACCTCTTCTTAAAAAGGTAAGAGAGGTAACTAGAGAACTTTCTCAAACCATGAAAATTAAATAGAACATGTTATTGAATGTGACTTAGACTTTTGTTTTTAACTTAAATTTTTGAGAAATAAAAGGAGACTAATAACTGTGACATAAACACTGTGACACTATTTCATTATTAAAAATAAGGTCCAGATGTAAAAACCAACAATGATTGGAAGATTATTGGGTACATTTGTCCTAAAATGTTTTATTCACTATGATCTGAATTCAAAGGCCATTTAGCTTTCCTCCATTACACGTACATTTTCCCTCTCTTCAGGACAGGATCTGCTCATACTCACTTGACTATGAAGAATTCAGGAGTGGGTAGAGGAATTACTGACAATGGCTATGTTGAGTGTGGGGGGGGGGCAGTGAGCAGGGACAGAGGGGCAGCCTTCCAAAAGAGATTTGGTTTAACGGCACAACATAATCCTCCCAGGAGAGTCAGGTTCCAAAGCACTCAGCCCATTTTTATCTTCACAAAAATATGTGTAATGCTTTGATTACTTTATTTCATGAAAATAGAAAATCAGAGCATGAGTTGAAAAAACTAGCCTTGTCTCCAGTTACTGATCTTTGTACCATCTTCAAGATTAAGAAAGGTAAGCAGGCTGTGTTACACGGGCCGTTCTACAGTCTGTGACTGAGTGCCGCAGCCTAATAGGTGAGGATGCTGTGAAGGGCTGATGTCTGCAAGATGCCCAGTTGTACAGAGACCACGCGCAGAAGAGAAAGGTGGCAGCTTCAGGGCACAAGGAGCTGTCTGCACCGCGATGCTTTGGTTCCCCACGGTCAGACAGTGCCTTGGTGTCTGGCCGTCCGGCATCTTCTTGCTGGATATGAGGACCTTGGATTGGTGCACTCAACTCTTTTCACACTACGGCAACCCATGGTCAACACACTTAGAGCAGTTGAACAGTACAGTCCCACCTCGTTTTTATGTGATCGTAACAGTCTGTTTTATGTGTTGTATAATGTGGAAAATGTTGCATAGTGCTTTTAGGTATTCTTTGTCATTTGCTATCCAAAGCCATTTCCATGAGGTCATTAGAAAGGGAACTGTTATTCCTACTCTGCATATAACATCAGAGAGCTTTATGAACTTAATTCACTAAAATGATGCTGCCAATTAGACTGTCACCCAAGCTTACTGGCTCTTACACTCGTACTCTTTCCACAGATCAAGTTGCCTCAATTCAGTTTAGAAAATTTATAGGAAGGGTCCACTCGGTGTAAAATAGTCAACTAAATATGGTAAGATGATAGAAGCTGGATCCTGTATAGTCCTTCCTCCCAGGAAGATACCGTACAGACGCCAACAGAGGAATAGACAGCTAATCATATAGGCAGAGCAGGGACATCGTCTTTAAGATAGGTATAAGGGACTGTATCACTAAAAGAATGAGATAAAATATCACTCAGGTGAGATGGTGATGATGGGGGACTCTTGCACAGGCTTTGAAAGAGTTTGTCTGGAAGACAGTGGAAAACTCAAAGGGATCCAGGCACCAGGAGTAGCACAATAAAAAGCGCAGAGTGGGTTTGGGAATTGGGCAGGGGCAGTATTGCTTGGAAGACCAGAAGGCCAAGAGCTTTTGGTGGTGGATTTGACAGCTGGCTGTGAGGACATAATCTTCATTTCTCATTTCAGTGATGGCCGAGTCAAATACACCTTGAACAAGAACAGCATTGAAGTTGACATTCCTTTGCCTTTTGGTGGCAAATCTTCTAAAGATCTCAAGATGTTTGACACCATTAGGACACCAGCCCTCAACTTCAAATCTGTGGGATTCTACCTACCATCTCGAGAGTTCCACATTCCCACTTTTACCATTCCTGAGCTGTATCAACTTCGAGTGCCTCTCTTGGGTGTCCTAGACCTCTCCACAAATGTGTACAGCAACTTGTACAACTGGTCCGCCTCCTACACTGGTGGCAACACCAGCAGAGACCACTTCACCCTCCAAGCTCGGTACCACATAAAGGCCGACTCTGCGGTCAACCTGCTTTCCTACAGTTTACAAGGTGAGCCGTGCATAGGTACAGGGTCCACAGGACTGACTCAGGGCAAGCTCTGATGCAAGAGACACCACTGGGGAGGAAATGACTTAAGCTTTATGACAGATGTTTTCCTGGCTACTTGGAAATCTATTCATTCATCCAACTAACAGAATACTTTACTAAACACAGAATGTGTATTAGATATTCTGCTAGGCAGGAACAAAGAAAGTAGTTAAATACCCCAGGAATGATAATTCAGTGTGAGAAATGCTGTGATTGTGCAATAAGGTGCAGTGGAAATACTCAGTAAGAGAGATCAACAAGGTCTGTGGAGCTTAAGGAAGGCTTCCCAGAGGAATGCCTTTGATAGCAAATTTATAGTTGAATTACGAATTAGGAGACTATGTACAACTGACTCCGATAAGTGACTTTATTACTGAAAGACTTTTAACATAGAAATCTTTCTGAAATTATATTACTTAATTTGACCAGTGTCTTTCATTTTATGTTAGGATCTGGAGAAACAACGTACGATCACAGGAACACATTTACATTATCATGCGATGGATCCCTACGGCATAAGTTTCTGGATTCAAATGTTAAATTCAGTCATGTAGAAAAACTTGGAAACAACCCGGCCTCCAAAGGTGTACTAACATTTGATGCCTCTACTACCTGGGGACCACAGGTGTCTGCTTCAGTCCATCTGGATTCGAAAAAGAAACAACATTTGTATGTCAGAGATGTCAAAATCGATGGGCAGTTCGGAGCCTCTTCTTTCTACGCGAAAGGCACATACAGCCTGACTTGTCAGGGTGACCCAGCCACTGGCCAGCTAAGTGGGGAGTCCGACCTGAGCTTTAACTCCTCCTACCTCCAGGGCACCAACCAGATAACCGGGAGGTACGAGGACGGCGCCCTCTCCCTCACCTCCACCTCTGATCTGCAAGGTGGCACCCTTAAAAACACTGCTTCCCTGAAGTATGAAAACTACGAACTGACCCTGAAATCTGACACCAATGGGAAGTCCGAGAACTTTGCCATTCGTAACAGGGTGGATCTGACCTTCTCTAAGCAAAACGCATTGCTGCATTCTGAGTATGAGGCTGATTACAAGTCATTAAAGTTCTTCTCCTTGCTCTCTGGATCGTTGAATTCCCATGGCGTGGAATTGAATGCTGACATCCTGGGCACTGACAAAGTTAACACTGCTGCTCACAAGGCAACGCTAAGTATTGGCCGCAGTGGAATCTCTACCAGTGCAACGACCAATTTGAAATACAGCCCCCTGTTTCTGGAGAATGAACTGAATGCAGAGCTTGGCCTCTCTGGAGCTTCTATGAAGTTCACAGCAAATGGCCGCTTCAGAGAGCACAGCACAAAATTCACCCTGGATGGAAAAGCCGCCCTCACAGAGGTGTCACTGGGGAGTGTTTGTCAGGCCATGGTGCTGGGTGTGGACAGCAAAAACATTTTTAACTTCAGAATCAGTGGAGAAGGACTGAAGCTCTCCAATGACCTCAAGGGCTCCTACGGTGAAATAACCCTGGACCATGCCAACAGTCTGAACACTGCAGGCTTATCCCTGGAATTCTCTTCAAAACTTGACAACATCTATAGCTCTGACAAGTTTTATAAGCAACATTTTAACTTCCAGCTTCAGCCCTTTTCTCTGGTAACCACTTTAAACAATGACCTGAAATACAGTGCTCTGGGTCTGACCAGCAGTGGGAAGCTACGGCTGGAACCTCTGAAGCTGAATGTAGATGGTAACCTGAAAGGCGCCTACCAGAATAATGAAATAAAACACATCTTCACCATTTCTTACGTCGACATATCAGCAAGCTACAAGGCCTCCACTATAGCAAGGATTCAGGGAATGCAGTTTAGCCATCAGCTCAACACGGGCATCGCTGGGCTGGTTGCATCCCTCGACACCAGCACAAACTACCACTCAGACTCACTGCGCTTCAGCAGCGCTTTGCACTCTGCAGTGGCCCCGTTTGCCCTGGCCATCAACGCACATACAAACGGCAATGGGAAACTGGCTCTCTGGGGAGAACACACCGGCCAGCTGTATAGCAAATTCCTGCTGAAAGCAGAGCCTTTGGCTCTTACTTTCTCTCACGATTACAAAGGATCCACAAGTCACAGTCTCTTGTCCAGGGAAAGCATCGGCATGGCTCTCGATCACAAACTCAGTGCCCTGCTTACACCATCCGAGCAGACCGGCACCTGGAAGCTCAAGACCCAGCTGAACAGCAATGAGTACAGCCAGGACTTCGATGCTTACAACACTAAAGATAAAATTGGAGTGGAGCTCAGTGGGCGGGGCCTGGCTGACCTCACCGTGCTGGACTCCCCAATTAAGGTGCCGTTTTTCCTCAGTGAGCCCATCAACATCATCGATACCTTCCGGATGAAAGACACTGTCCAGCAGCCCCAAGAATTCACAATTGCTGCTGCCATAAAGTATGACAAGAACCAAGATGTCCACACTATCAGCCTCCCATTCTTTAAATCACTGCCAGAATATTTGGAGAAGAATAGACTAATGATTATAACTGCACTGGAAGCCATGCAGAAAGAACTGAAAAGCCTCAATATCGATCAGTTTGTGGGGAGATACAGAGCAGGCCTGGGCAAACTCCCACAGCAAGTTAATGATTATCTGACTGCATTCAACTGGGAGAGTCAGGTTGCCAGTGGCAAGGAGAAACTGACTGCATTCGCAGAAAATTACAGAATCACAGAAAATGATGTACAAACTGCATTGAATAATGCCAAAATCAGCCTTAATGAAAACCTCTCTCAACTTCAGACATATGTGATACAGTTTGATCAGTATATTAAAGATAATTATGATCTACATGATTTAAAGATAGCTATTGTTAGGATTATTGATCGAATTATTGAAAATTTAAAAATTCTTGATGAACATTATCATATCCGTGAAAACTTAGTAAGAACAATCCACAATGCATATTTGTTTATTGAAAATATTGATTTTAGCAAAATGGGAAGTAGTACGGCATCTTGGATTCAAAATGTAGACACTCAGAACCAAATCAGAATCCAAATACAGGAAAAATTGCAGCAGGCCAGGACACAGATTCAGAATATAGACATCCAGGAGCTTGCTGCAAAGTTAAAACAACAGGTTGAGGCCATTGACACCAGAGCACTTTTAAATCAAGTGAGAACTACAATTCCATTTCAAAGAATAAAGGACATTATTGAGCATGTCAAATACATTGTAATAAGTCTTATTGAAGATTTTGAAGTAACTGAGAAAATCAATGCTTTTAGAGCTATAGCCCATGAGTTAATTAAGAAATATGAAGTAGACCAACAGATCCAAGTTTTACTAGATAAATCAGTACAGTTAGCTCGCCAATATAAGCTGAAGGACACTGTTCAGAAACTAAGCAACCTCCTACAACGAGTTGATATGAAAGATTGTTATAAGAAACTGCTTGTGTTTATTGATGATATTATCAGGCAGCTCAAAGCATTTTCTTTTAAAAATTTCATGGAAGAAGTAAACCAATTTCTTGACGCTTTGGTAAAGAAATTAAGATCATTTGATTACCACCAGTTTGTAGATGAAACCAACCACAAAATCCGTGAAGTGACTCAGATAATCAATGCTGAACTTCAGGTTCTTGACCTACCACAGAAAGCTGAAGCACTAAAACTGTTTGTGGAGGATGTGAGGGTCATGCTGTCTGCCTTTCTAGAAAAGCTGAAGGACACTAAAATAACCGTGTTTGTCGATTGGTTACAGGATGCACTAAATACTGCATATCTGGTTCCCATAAAGGCAAAATTCCAAGAAACTCTAGAAGACATACGAGACCGAATTTATCAGATGGACATTCAACAAGAACTGGAGCGCTGCCTGTCACTGGTGGGCCAGGTTTACAGCACACTTGTCACCTACGTCTCTGACTGGTGGGTTCTTGCTGCTAAGAACCTCACTGACTTTGCGGAGCAATATTCTATCCAAGGCTGGGCTGAAAATGTGAAAGCTTTGGTGGAACAAGGGTTCACTGTCCCTAGAATTCAGCTCATTCTTGGGACTGTGCCAGCCTTTGAAGTTAGTCTTCGTGCTCTTCAGGAAGCTTCTTTCCAGACTCCCATCTTCACAGTTCCCCTGACAGATTTGAGGATTCCATCAGTTCGGATCAACTTCAAAGAACTGAAAGATATAAAAATTCCACCCAGGTTTTCCACGCCTGAATTCACTGTCCTCAACACCTTCCACATTCCTTCCTTTACAGTTGATTTCTTAGAAATAAAACTCAAAATCATCAGAACCATTGACCAGATGCTGAGCAGTGAGTTCCAGTGGCCGGTTCCAGAAGTATATGTGGGGGACCTGAAGGTGGAGGACATCCTTCCAGCCAGACTCTTCCTCCCAAACTTCCATTTACCGGAAATCACAATTCCAGAATTTCTAATCCCGAATCTCAACCTTACGGAGTTTCAAGTCCCTGACCTTCACATACCAGAATTCCAGCTTCCTCCCATCTCACACAGTGCCGAAATACCTGCTTTGGGCAAGCTGAATAGCATTTTGAAAATCCAGTCTCCCCTTTTCACCTTAGATGCAAAAGCTGACATACACAACATAACTACTTCAGAGCACCAAACAGGGACCGAAGTTTCCATCGCTGCCAAAGGAGAGTCCAAATTCGAAGTTTTCAATTTTGATTTTCAAGCAAATGCACAGCTCTTGGATCCCAAGACTAATCCACTGTTGCTGAAGGAATCCATGAATTTCTCCAGCAAGCACCTAAGAATGGAGCATAAAAGTGAAATACTATTTTCTATAAATGCCATTGAAGGAAAATCAGACACAGTGGCAAGTTTCAGTACAGAAAAAAATACCCTGGAGCTCAATAACGGTGTGGTGGTCAAGATGAAGGGTCAGCTTACCCTGGACAACCACATGAAATACTTCCACAAACTGAGCATCCCCAAACTGGACTTCTCCAGTAAAGCTGACCTGAGAAATGATCTCAAGACACTCCTGAAAGTTGGCCACATCACACTGACCTCTTCTGGAGCAGGGTCATGGAAATGGGCCTGTCCCAGCTTCTCAGACGAGGGAACACACGAATCACAAATCAACTTTACTGTGGAAGGACCCCTTGCTTCCCTTGGGTTAGCCAATAAGATTAACAGCAAACACCTAAGAGTAACCCAGAATTTGGCTTATGAATCTCACTTCCTCAACTTTTCTAAATTTGAAATTCGGTCAGATGTTGAATCCCAGCACGTGGGCCACAGCATTCTGACTGCTAAAGGCACAGCCCTACTTGGAAAAGGGAAAGCAGAGATAACTGGAGACCACAGTGCTCATTTAAGTGGAAAAGTTATTGGAACTTTGAAAAATTCTCTTTTCATTTCAGCCCAGCCACTTGAGATTACCGCATCCACAAATAATGAAGGGAATTTGAAAGTTAGTTTTCCATTAAGACTGACAGGGAAGATAGACTTTCTAAATAACTATGCACTACTTCTGAGTCCTTCTGCCCACCAAACAAGTTGGCAGGCAAGTGCTGGGTTCAATCAGTATAAGTACAACCACAACTTCTCTGCCAGTAACAATGAGAACAGCATTGACGCCCACGTATCCATCAATGGAGATGCCAACCTGGATTTCTTAAACATTCCTTTAACAATTCCTGAAATGAATCTACCTTACACAACATTCAAAACTCCCTCCCTGAAAGATTTCTCCATATGGGAAGAAACAGGCTTGAAGGAATTCTTGAAAACAACAAAGCAATCATTTGATTTAAATGTAAAAATTCAGTATAAGAAAAACAAAGACAAGCATACCATTGCAGTTCCTTTGGGTGTGTTTTATAAGTTTATCAGTCAGAATGTCAATTCCTTGGACAGCTATTTTGAGAATGTTAGAGATAATGCATTGGATTTTCTTACTACATCCTATAATGAATTGAAAATTAAGTTGGATGAGTATAAAGCTGAAAGATCCCTCAACAAACTCCCCAGGACCTTTCCGAGGCCTGGATACACCATTCCAATTGTCAATGTTGAAGTGACTCCATTCTCAGTAGAGATGTTGCCCTCTGGTCACATGATTCCAAAGGCAGTCCACACCCCCAGTTTCACTATCCCGGGTTTTGACTTCTATGTGCCTTCATACATGTTATCTCCCCCATCCATCGAACTGCCAGACCTCCATATCCCTAGGAATCTACTCAAGCTTTCTCTCCCAGATTTCAAGGGGCTGAGCACTGTAAACAATATTTTTATTCCAGCCATGGGCAATATAACCTATGATTTTTCTTTTAAATCAAGTGTCATCACCCTGAATACCAACGCTGGACTTTATAACCAATCGGATATTGTTGCTCATTTCCTTTCTTCCTCTTCATTTGTCATCGATGCACTGCAGTACAAATTAGAGGGCACTTCACGTTTGACGAGGAAAAGAGGACTGAAGTTAGCCACGGCTCTGTCTCTGAGTAACAAATTTGTGGAAGGCAGTCATGACAGCACCATTAGCATCACCAAGAAAATCATGGAAGCATCAGCAACCACGACTGCAAAAGTCCACATCCCAGTTTTGAGAATGAATTTCAAGCAAGAACTTAATGGAAATACCAAGTCAAAACCTACTGTCTCTTCATCCATTGAGCTAACATATGACTTCAATTCCCCGAAGCTGTTCTCCAGTGCAAAGGGAGCGATCGACCACAAGCTCAGCTTAGAAAGCCTCACTTCTTACTTTTCTATTGAGTCATCTACCAAAGGAGATATCGAAGGTTTGGTCCTCTCGAGGGAATATTCAGGAGCTATTGCCAGTGAGGCCAGCACTTACTTGAGTTCCAAGGCAACTCGGTCTTCAGTGAAGCTGCAAGGTTCTTCTAAAGTCGATGGTATCTGGAACGTCGAAGTAAAAGAAAATTTTGCTGGGGAAGCCACTCTCCGACGCATGTATGCCATGTGGGAACACAGTATGAAAAACCACTTACAGCCATACAGTGGCTTTTCCACTCACGGAGAACATACAAGCAAAGCCACCCTGGAACTGTCCCCAGGGTCAGTATCAGCCCTCATTCAGGTTCGTGCACGTGAGATCAATTCTGTCCTTGACATTCCTCACCTTGGCCAGGAAGTGGCCCTGAATGCTAATACTAAGAACCAGAAGTTCAGCTGGAAAAGTGAGGTTCAGGGTCAGCTTGGGACTCTCCAGAACCATGTACAGCTTTCTAATGACCAAAAAGAGGCACGCTTTGACATTGCAGGATCCTTAGAAGGGCGTCTGCACTTCCTCAAATTTATCACCCTACCAGTGTATGACAAGAGCCTATGGGACCTCCTAAAACTGGACGTAACCACCAGCTCTCAAAAGAGACAATATCTTCATGCTTCAACTGCTCTTGTGTACACCAAAAACCCCAAGGGCTATCCTTTCTCTGTCCCTGTGCAAGAACTGACTGATGAGTTCATTGTCCCAGGCCTGAAACTCAGTGATCTGAGCTCAGACTTTGCCACACCTACATTCCGAGTACCGTTTACAGATCTGCAGATCCCATCCTACAAGCTTGACTTCAATGAAATAAGAATCTACAAGAAGCTAAGCACGTCACCATTTGCCCTCAACCTACCCACACTACCCAAAGTGAAATTCCCCCAAGTGGATGTGTTAACAAAATACTCTGAACCGGAAGATTCCTCGGTCCCCTTTTTTGAGATAACTATCCCTGACGTTCAGCTAACTGTGTCCCAGTTCACTCTTCCAAAAAGTCTTTCAGTGGGCAGTGCTGTTTTGGATCTCAGTGAGGTAGCCAACATGATTGGGGACTTCGAGTTGCCTACCATCACAGTGCCTGAACAGACAATTGAGATTCCTTCCATGAAGTTCTCCGTACCTGCTGGAGTTTTTATTCCTTTTTTTGGAGCGCTGACTGCACGTTTTGGGGTGGCCTCTCCCCTGTATAATGCCACCTGGAATGTTGGTTTGAAAAACAAAGCAGATCACGTTGAAACCTTCCTGGATTCCACATGCAGCTCAACCTTACAGTTCCTAGAATATGACCTAAATGGTAAGGAAATGGCCTGACTCCTCTCCTAGCTACTCTATGTTTGCAGCAAGAGTTGTGATTAAATAAGTACTTATTTCGTTATCACCAGAGACACAATTACTCTGTAGCAAAATTTAAAAGAAAATAGGGCAAACACATGCAAAAACAAAACTATAGAAAATCCTCTGACATTTAAGAATAGGTTCAAAGAAAAGAAATTTTGCTGTAATGATTTTAGTACGAATAATGCCTTCTCTTTATTAAAGAACAGGCTGGTCCGAAGGTAGTGAGTTATCTCAATTGATTGTTCACAGTCAGTTACAGATTGATCTCCTTTATTAAAGAACAAAAAGTGAAGGCAGACACAATGGCATGCCCTTGTAATCCCAGCTACGTGGGTTGCTAAGGCAGGAGGATCACTTGAGCCTAGGAGTTTGAGGGCAACCTAGGCATCATAGAGAGACTCTATCTCAAAAAGAAAAATAATTAAATAAAATAAAAATAAAAGCAGTTCTAGTCATAGGGGTGCAGTTTGGTGTCAACGCACTTCCCCAGCATGGGTGAAGCCCTGGGTTTGATCTCTAGCACCCCAAAAATAAATAAAAATTTTAAAACTATGGACGACACATTGCATGCTTTAAACATAAGCTATCTGATCAAGATACAATTCTTCTGGTTTGCACCATGAAAATATTGATGTCTCGTGGTTACTCACTAAATAAAATACAAAATCTCTCCTTCACAGTTGTGGGAACACACAGCCTTGAAGACGGTATGCTCATCTGCAAGATCAAAGGCACACTGGCCCATCGCGACTTCAGTGCAGAATATAAAGAAGTTGACAAATACAAAGGACTCAAGTATGAGCATTTTGTGGAAGTTTCGTCTCCTCAGAGCTCATCGTGATGCCCGCCATCTCTGTACCCTCTTCTTTGACTCATCTGCCTTTCTGCTTTCAGGGCCTGGGAGGAGGATGTGAATCTCGACATCCTAAGTCCGGCGTTCACCGAGCTCCACTTGCGCTACCGAGAAGACGAGAACAGCATGTCCTTCTCAGCAGCCTCCCCCGCCGTAGGCACTGTGGGCCTGGACTTGGAAACAGAAGGCGACCGCAGCTTCAAGGGGAACTTGTACTTCCAGCCCCAGGTGAGTGCCGGCACTGCACACACCCAAGAGCAAGCAGCGAGTTGGAGCCGATACATTTAACGCAAGGCAGTTCTTTTAGAGCATCCTCACACTAGGTGACAGACAGGTGGTGAGCAAGCTGAACTTCTTCACTGAGGCGCTGTTCTCCAGAAAGTGCCACGGTGGCTCCTTCACTGAGTTGAATCATCAGAGTGCACACCCATGACATAACCTTAAATGAATAAATCCGGAGAGATGAATGTTACACCTCCTCACCTCAATCGCAGGCCAACTCTGCCTTATGCACAGGACAATGCCTTTCAAATTAGGATTTCTGGAATATTCGAGGTTTCAAAATTCTTCTGCATAATAGAATTGTTCGAGGGTACACATCAAATTCCTCTTGTGTCAGTTATCAACTCTGCCGGGGCCAATGGAAGATGCTGTTACCAGAAGGGAGACTGACTCTGATTCTGTTATAAAGTTTGTCACGGACTGGGAGAAGGGTACCGAAATCGGCAGTCTAGAGGTCTGCTGCCTTCTCGTTTTTGTGCTACTCCTATCTCTCACTTCCTTCCTGCTCATTGTCCTCAGCCTCGCTTCTCCTTTCTCTCCCAAATTGCAGTCCTAGGAAAGCCTTTAAGTGCTACTGTTAAATGCCAGGTGTGTTCTCAGTCCTTTCCAGTGCGTATGATGAAGAGAAATTAGCAACAATGGGCTTGTTTAACCGTGAAACAAGCACATAAACTGACATATGGGAGATAAATCCCCATCAGACTATGAAAGATCTTTTAATTTTTACTTTTTACTGCTGATGAAATTTTAGTGTAGTTTATTTTCTAGTCAGAATAATTGAAAACATGTTTCTCTCATCTGGTTTTCTTTCTGGTTTTAGTCCTCTCCAGGCAGAAAACTCAATATATTCAAAACTGAGTGGCGGTACCAGGAATCTGATGATAAAATTCAGATGAAGTTTAATTGGGAAGAAGAGGCAGCTTCCAGATTCCTGGGCTCTCTAAAGGACAATGTGCCAAAGGCCACAGGTGCCTTTTATGACTATGTTGACAAGTACCACCAGGAGTACACAGGACTCAGCCTGAAAGATGCTTCTTCAAAGCTCAGGAGAAGTCTGCGGGAAAGTGCTGAGGGAGCGTACCAAAGAGCCAGAAGGCAGATCAATAAGATGGATGTTGGGCTCCAGAGAGCAGCCAGCAGCACTATAGGCACCTACCAGGAGTGGAAGGAAAAGGCCCAGGATCTATACCAGGAGCTGTTGGCTGAGGAGGGACAAGCCAGTTCCCAGAGACTCAAAGACAAAGTGTTCGACAGTTTATTCCAAGCTACTCAGGAGGCCCGCATGGCAGCCAAGTGTATGATGGACTCATCCATTGGTTTCTTGCAGCTCACGAGAATCCAACTCCCAGGGATAGCAGGGACATACACTGGAGAGGAACTCTGCACCATGGTCATTAAAGAAATCGGGAAAGTACTGTCCTGGGCATATTCAAATATCCATAGTGAGTTAGAGAAGCTGCTTTCCTATGCCCAAGACCTAGTGGAGAAATCTGAATTAATCAAAGACCTACAGATTACATTTCCTTTTTATTCAGAAAGCTATAAACTGACAGAGGTAATTCTGAAGTCTAGGAAACTGTTGGAATTTTTATCAAAAAATGTCCAGGACGTTTTTATTGACCTCCAGTCTATCAAGTTGTCAGAGACACTGGGTGACCTCCAGAGCAGTTTACAAATAATTTTCGAAAGGATAGAAGAAGAAATTAAATACTTAAAGGAGACCAGATTTATTCACCCCATTAATGCTATCGACACAATCTTCAACACCTATATTCCATTTGCTTTTAGAGTGCTGAAAGAAAGCCTATACCTTAACCTTACAAAGTTCAATGAGGCTGTTCAGAATAATCTTCAGGTGGCTTCTCAAGGGTTGCAGCAGACCCATCAATATCTAAAGGCTCTTCGCGAAGAATATTTTGATCCAAGCATAGTCGGCTGGACAGTAAAATACTACGCACTTGAAGAAAAGATGGTGGATCTGGTCATGGACCTAGTAATTGCCCTTAAGAACCTTCATTCCACATACACAGCCTATGCTGCCAGCTCTGCATCCCAGCTGTCAGCCCTAGTTGAGCAGTTTGTACACAAAGATGTCCAAGAGTATCTTAGCATCCTTGCAGATGCAGACAGAAGGGGGAAAGAGAAGATAGCAGAGCTTTCTAACTCTGCTCAGCAAGTAATTAAAACCTTGACCACTGCAATGAAGGAGATCGTTTCTGATTACCTGGAGCAGTTCATATCTAAACTACAGGAGTTTTTAGACCAATTCCCTGATTACTATGAAAAATTCATCGCTGAGTCCCAAAGGTTGATTGACCTGGCCATCCAGAGCTACCACGTGATCCTGAGCTATATCACTGAGCTTCTGAAAAAGCTGCAAGCAGCCACAGCCAGTGGTGGGAACCCCTACGTAAAGCTTGCTCCAGGGGAACTCACTATTACCTACTAAGTTTTTAAAGCAATCCTCACTTATTGGTATATTGCAATTAAAGTTTCACATAATGGATGGAAAATTCAAACTATGCATAAAACACACCTTGAGCTGGCCTGCAGCAGGCAGCTGACTAAAGGCAGAAGCACATATGAACTGGACCTGAGCTGGAGCTGGCATGGGAGCTCGGCTGGTCTCTGAACTCCGGGGAGTGACTTTTATTTTGCAAGTTAAAATCAGGATCCGAGTTATTTTCCTAAACCTGGGAGGGGGAAAATAAATGGATTCTGTATTGTGTATCATACCACTCAGTATGGTCATCTGTATTCGAAGATAGTGCAATTAGGGCATCAGTTCAAGTATTCTGGCATTTCAACACCTCTAGAACATATATGACGACTTACATGATGGAAAAGAGACAGAGAGCATCATGAATGGAAATATTTTATCCCCTAAAAATCAGAGGCAGTTTATCTCAGGAATGGTATTTGCCAAGTGAAAAGGAAAGGTCACAGAGATTTTTACATAATTTGATCATGAGGAGCATGTTGTTTATCTTTAGGAGCCACACAACTTTCCTCACCAACCTGCCTGCCTTTGCCAGGCAAGGCTCTCTTTCGGCTTTAAGGTAAACCCACAGGCCCTTCACTTCACTGGGGGGCCAGCAATAAAGAGGGGAGGGAGGGAGTCCTAGTCTCGAGGGCTCCATGGCAACAGGGACCCCAGAGTTCCCCTTGAAGCCAAGCCACTCAGGGTGAAGAAGTATGGTTAGCAGAGGAGGGGTGGGGAAGTAAACGCCTAACATTTCTGTGATTAAGCACGCATTTAAGCTCTTGAACTTCCTTATTTTTCCAAATGCAATACCTAATCATCCCAAATGAATCAAAGGTCAGGGGTTTCTTTTCCTGTCCCATGCACCCGCTACAAACTCCAATTTTAAACATTAGCAATTTCAGTCAGAACTCCAGCCTGAGCTCTTGTCAGGGTAAGCTGCAAAGAACCCATGAACACAACTTTCACTAATATCACTGGAGAAAGGTAGCTGTCCCATGGTACATTCCTTTCAGTGGCATCAAACAATACAGGAAAAGTGTGACCTTCAGACAGTAAGAAATTAGAGGTTACTGCCCCCTCATGTACATGAAGTCTCTTGGGAAAGGACCCATTTTTATCCAACTTCCACCATTTTTCCATTAAGCCTTTATATTCTCTTGATGAATCTCACTGTTAAAATGCACAGGCTTATCAGTATCTTGGCAGGATTCTTTTGTCTGGAATTGAGAAGCAAGAAAGAATCTAAAGAAATGAAATACATAGTGGCATATGAATCTGTTATTCAAGGAAATTCTGTTGGATGGATGGATGGATGGATGGTTGAGCATACGAATAAATAAATGTGTAAAAGCCAGGCATGGTGGTGCATGCCTGTAATTCCAGCACTCAGGAGGCTGAGGCAGGAGGATTGCTATGAGTTAGAGGCCAGCCTGGGCTAAATAGTGAGTTCAGGGCCAGCCTGAACTACAAAGGGAGACCCTCAAAAAATAAATAAACAAACGAGGAGTCAGTTTTGAGGGTGAGAAAAGGGAGAATTGAGTCCAGATCCCAATGTGATCCACTAGTTAGTTCTGCAGAAGCTTCCCTGATGAGCTGGGAGCAACAAGAATCTACTGAGTCTTCAACAGAAAAGAAGACTTGGATTATGGCTGGATTAAGAGGGGAAAAGGAAGTCTAAAGTTCCTTGTGCTTGTGGGATGCTACGTATATCTAGGTATGATGTTAGGGAAAAGTAACCATAAGTTCAAAGTGACCACATCGCACAGTGCTGCTTGCCTGGCTCACTGACCATGGTCCCTCATTCTTGATGCCCATGACTGGCTCAGAATATCTCCATCATGTGGAAAAAATCCAGAAGAAGAAGGGACCCTTGGGAGAGTTTAGACTTTTCATACTTCCTTCATTGGTCTTCAACTAGATCTCAGGATCTTTCTCTGGGTTCAGTTAATGGCTTCTTAGTTTGGGCAAATTGTTTCCCCTCTTGAGTCTTAACTTATCTTACCTATGAAACAGGATAATACCTCTTCTGCCTGTCTTACAGAACTGCTCATGAAAATCAGTTGAAACTAAATATGGGGAAACTTTTGTAGCATTTAATGTCATGTAGAAAGAAAAGGTTATTATTAGATGATTTTTTAAGTTGCTTATGAGGAGAGAGAATGGAGGTGAGGAGACCTTTCCATCTCCTTGTCCTGAGCACTGTGCAGGTACTGGAACCACAGAGGTGAGGAACATCAGTGAGATGCCATCATCTTCAGGGGCCACACAATCTTCCTTTGCCAGCCATTTGCCAGGCCTCCCTTTGTCCTGAGATTTCGACCTAATTTCTCCCTCTGTCACCCTAAAAGTTGACCCCTCATTTACATATTTATTTATCCATCCATCCATCCAACAGAATTTCCTTGAATACTCAATCCAAGATCCTGGGTGTCCATCTTTCCATTTGTCTATCAAGCTGGTACGCGCTGTCTTATGAGGGATATAAACAGGATACTAAAGTACCGTGAAGATTTTAAATAGAAAAACTTGTGGAGAGGAGGTTGTTATGGAAAAACTTGAAAGGGATCTTAATGACACCCAGACTCTAATAAACCGGTACAGGAGAAGGGCAGCCCCGAGTGAGGGAGAGGGCAGAGGCGCGTGGGAGTGTTGCAAGAACACTGGATTGTCCGGTTTGGCCAAAGTACAGGAAAAGTAGTTGGAAAGGACAGCTTCGGAGTGTTGCAGGGCTTGGATGTTGGAGGGAAAGTGCCGCTCTTTCCTGAAGAAGGGCGTCCATGAAAAGGTTGGAATAGGAGAGTGATACCAGGTACAACTTAATCAATACACATAGTGAGTTGTGGCGGGATGCATCTGAACGTGAGGCTGTACCTGGTCCAAGAAAAAGATGGACCCACCTGGGACTTGATGCGAACCTCGGCCAAGTTGGAACGGTGGGAATGAAAGGGTGGAATGAAAGTAGCACTATGAAGGCAGAGGGGATAGGATCGGGGGGCTGATTATTGAGAGCACAGAGGATGAGTACGAGAACCATTGGCAATGAAGCTGCCTCAAAGTCACTGGAGGTAGGAATTGGAAGGGGTATGGGAGAGATGGAAAAAACAGGAAGAACATGTATTTTGGTCTGTTTTCTGCCACAGACTGAGTAATTTATAAAGAAAATAAGTTTGTTTTTCACAGTTCTGAGGGCTTGGAAGTCCGAGAGCATGGGCTCTGCTTCTAGTGAGGTTTTCCTGCTGTGTCCGTAACAGCAGAAGGGCAAGCAAACTAGAGACGGGGAAGGAAATCAGGTGGAACTCCTCCCTTTACGGCTAACCCACTCCCTTGACAAGGGCCTTACCCCACTCCTAAGGTCAGTGCAAAACTTCAGCTCTCCATACTATTGCTTCGGGGTCTAACCTCCCCAGACATGAATCCTGGAGGCACATTCAAATCGTAGCAAAAAGTAAAACAAACCTCACAGTTACCCTAAAGTACGGCACCATGTTAGAGCCCTGATGACTGTGTTAACAGTGAGAGGGTTGGTATGAGGATGGGCTAACAGACTAACAGAGCTGGAATGGTACTGTGGGCTTGCGTGGCCAGTTTCAATGTGCAGTGAAGTGGTGCGACCAGATGGAAAACATTCCAGGAGAAAAACAGAAGATGTGGGCTCGAGTAACAATATCCAAAGCAATGTGGACAAATAAGAATTTTAACTAATTATTATATTAATTTAATAGATCTTTAGAAATTTACCAAGAAGAAATAGAGCTCTCCTGCTGCACCACTGATGGGTCTGTGGTCCTGAGAATGGGCCAACATATAAATCCCCTAAGAACATACCATGAGATGCTATGGGAAGTCCTGCTGTAAACATGGTTGTTCCTCCTACAAAACAAATACCCAAGTTTAAAACCCAAGGAGAAATCAAATAATGAAGCCCAGCCCAGGTCCCTGGAACTTCAGAAGTAGGATCGGACTGTGTGCTTTGGCTGGACTCCCAGGTGCCACATGGGCTGCGGCACTGTCCCAGGGGAGACTTATGATGCAAGGGGCTGTTTGGACTGGACTCAGTGTGGCCGAGTGTCCTCAGACTGCTGTCCACTTTCCTTCCGCTTTCCTCCTGAAGGCTGGCCATAGAAGTGTCTATCCCCTTTTTCCGATGACATGAGAAAATCCCCTTTTACTTCCCCCTTTCACTAGGCCCCCTTTCGAATTTACAGCTAGTCCTCATTCAGTCAGAAAAGGGGCCCAAACGGCCCTCAAATGGAGCCTACAAGATGGGCGCCAGAGGGGACAAACAGATGTTCCCTCTAAAAGTGTCTAATAACCGGAGATGAATGTGCAGACACAGACCCTGCCCTGTAGCTCATCTCCTCGAATGCTGTTTCCCATTAAGAGGTCAGCTCCAACTCCCTTCCGAGAGCTCCAGTTGTTGGTGGGATGGTTGGGTGGTCACTAGCAAATAACATTTGGAGCCTCATAAAAGTTGGTGGAATAGGTACACATGTGTCCTCCAGGAAATCCCTGCTTTTTTCCTCCAAACTGGCTTCTGCCTTCCCCTCTCTCGCCTTCTGACTAATTTTACAGATCCAACAGGTCATGCCCAGCTGGCTGCTTTTCCCTGACAGGTGCAGTTGATGCTGGGATACAGGGTAGCCCTTTGGGCCTGTATGTGAGTGCCCCAACCCTTCAACAACACCAGAGGTAGAGAATAGTCCAAACTCGGGCTCCCCCCTCTTTCTGTAAAGAGCACAGGCTCTCCCATTGGGTCTCAGATCAGCAGGGATCCCAGGGGAAATCTGGCCTCCCAAGAGCTCTCTCTATGGCCATGAGGCCTCTACTGAGAAGTCAGAAGATCTACATTCTGGCCCCTGGTGCTCATGCAATGGACCTGGTGACCTGGAGCAGACAGCTGCCCCTCCCTAGGTCTCATCCTTGGCGTGCTCACGGTATTAACGGCCTGCAAACTGCATCCGACCACAGGGTGCTCTGCTCTAAGCAAACCCAGTGCACACAGAAGTTTAGCCCCATGCTCACAGTCAGCAAGGGCTGGCAACCTGATTCTGCCCATGTTCTCCAGCCCCCTAAGGCTTCTGCCTCTTAAATAGCTTAAAGAACCCATTGGGCCTTGAGCTTCTGTGGGCATCTCTAACTCATGGTGAGCCGCCTGCTCTCTCTCTAGGGCTCTCTCTCTCTTCATCCTTCCTTCAACTTACCCTAGGTTCCCAGAGGAAGAGCATCATCGTCATGGGATAATTTGAGCTG